ATCTTTAAAAAGTTCAAAATATTATAAATTAGAAGATGTTAAAAATTATAAGAGACATCTAATTTTTTTTATATATTTTTCATTTATTATTGGATCTTCATCAATAATTTCTTTCAAATTACAATTTCATTTATACGTTTGACTTGTAAAACTAAACTTAAGTAGAATCAAGAAGCAAAAATAATATTTGAAGCTTAGAAGATAGCCTTTATTTTTGCACCAATCTTGTATTATATTGACTTCTTCGAGCCATTTTTTATAGAAAAAAATGCATTAGACTATATTTTGGAGGCCATATTCTTATAAATAGAAGTAGATGATAAACTTTATTTAATAGTTTTTTATTTAAAAAATATTTTAGCAGCTAAGATCAACTACAAGATCCACAAAAATAATTTCTTATAATTATGGATTCATTTTAAGAATAGCACTATTATCTAAAAAAAACTTTTAGTTTAATCATTATATATATGAATTACAAGAACCTTAAGTATTTTATATCAACATGTATTTTTAATCATTGATAAGCTTGTTGGATCATGTCTTTATTAAGATTGAAATTCAAGTTTACTTATTAGTCCAAAAAACAACAAGATTTATCAAATGCCCTTTTTAGAGAATCTTATCTTATACCAAAAGAAAAAAAACGTAACTTTTGATTAATAATAGTTTATTTTCTTGAAGCAAGAGAAATTTTATCTTTAAGCAATGAAATCAATACTAATCATTGATTCAAATTTTTTTAAGCAAGTTTAATCAAGTATGTCTTCTAATTCTTTTATTCATGATATTAAGAATAATTCTTTAAAAATTGATAATATTTCTAAGTTTGAATTCAAAAATAATCTATTTTTTTAAGAGTAATTATATATTTCAAAAAATGAAGCACAATTACGAGCTCTTCAAGCTTACAATGACTTTTTAGTAGCATGAAATTTTGGAAATAATTAGACCTTGGGATTAATTTTAAGACATTAATAATTACATCAAATGTGAAAGATAGTCAAAAGCTTTGTACAATCATGTGATATTTGTTCAAGATAAAAAAAAATTCCTTGTCATTGATCTTATGGGCTTCTATAGCCACTACATTTACTAATACAACCATGGTCCTCTATTTCTATGGATTTTATTACAAATCTTTCAACTTCAAGTTTATATGACTATATATTCAAGATAATAGATTATTTCACTAGGATGACATATTTTGTATCATATATAAAATCTATCATTGATAAGTAAAATAGCTAAATTATTTTTTGATAATATCTATTATTATTATGGATTATCAATAGATATTATATCAAATAGAAGAATCTAATTTATATTAAGATTTTAAAAAAATTCTTTTAAGATATTGAAGATGTATATTAAATTATTTGACTTTCTACTCTAAAAAAAACAAATGAATAAAGTTTTAAAGTAGTATTTATAAGGTACTATCAACTACCATCAAAATGGTTAAATAATTTTTTTTATTATCGGCAATTTTTTTTATAATAATATAATATATTTATTTACTTAAAAAATATCTTTTTATACTAATTATGATTATCATTTATAACTTAAGACTTTTTACTTTTCAATAATTGATAATCATATGACAAAAGATTTGGTGAATACTTTGTCAAAGCTACATGCAACAATGAAGGCACAATTAAAAGAGATTCAAGAATGACAAAAGACTAATGAAAATGCTTATCATAAGAAACAACCTCAATTCCATATTGGCAACAAGGTATAGTCATTTTTTTATAATATCAAAATTAATTGCTCTTTTGATAAGTTAGATTATTGAAGACTTAAACCATTTCTTGTTAGTAAATAAATTGATCGAATTGCTTATAATTTACAGCTACTTGAGTCTATGAAGATCCATCTCATATTCCACATATCTCTCTTTGATTCATATAAGATAGTGAATATCTTTGGAAGAAGACAAATACCACATATCCTTATAAAAATAGATAATAATTAAGAATTTGATATAGAAGAAGTCTTAGATTTAAGTTGGCTATAAAACGGGTTGAAATATCTTATTCATTAACATAGATATGATATTAATGAATACATATAGAAATCACCAATAAATCTTACAAATGCAATAGAAAAGGTCAAAAAATTTCATCAATGACATCTCTTAAAATCAAAATAAAGAGTCAAGCAATTCTTTGAGATAAAATAAAGGTTGTTCAATAAAAATTTTATTCTACTTTTTATCCTTTATTGTGATTATTTTATATTAGTAGTGTTAATGAGATGAAAAATCAACAACTATGAAATTCAACTTTAGCACTATCATTTATTGACCTATCGAATGAAATATTGTAATTATTCTAGCCTTTAAGATAATATAACAGAAATGAAGACCTTCAAGAATAATATGTTCTTTTTCAAATAGATGGCGAGATAAAATGTATTTGATATCAAAACCTTAGAAGAGATTTTTAATTTTTAGTGATTTTAATGGAGATAGAAACAATTCTTAATGGTATTACAAATATTTTTTTTGAATGAAGTTATAAAGTTCTTAACAATAATCAAATATTAAGGTGGTCTTCTTATCCTAAAATGAGATATTAACAATAGTTGAAAGGACTTATCAACTACCTTAAAAGAAAAAAAAGATTAGAATATGTGGTAATTATAATTTATTGCAAATTGGACTTCTTCAATATGTGATTATTGATTCTTATGGTATTTCTCTCTAAAAGGAAGAAGAGAGAAGAGATAATATTATAAACATATATCTATATATATATATATATATATATATGTATATACTTTAATAATTATTTAGATAATATGAATAGGTAGAAGTAAGTAAAAGTAGATTAATTCAATATTATCTTATAGAAAAGCTTTCTAAAAGCTTTATAGACATAATTTCACCCTTATATATTTCTATAGGTGATTAATATGTTAGAAACTTGGTCGACAAGTTTGCTACATGTTGCACATACTCGTAGCTTGTGATATAAGCTAACCATGTGGCACATATATAAGAAACTTTTTTTGCAAGTTAAAACACATGTCTCATAAATTGAGCACATGTTGGAGATCTTATAGAACATTGCTATGTAGTTCCTAGGTAGATAGTATATATATAGAAGCAAGAGTGAAGTTTTTTTTTGCTCTTTTCAACTTCTTTTTTGCTTCTATTCTAGTTTCAAGGATCTTTAATTTTCTTATCTTTTGGTAGTAGCCATTTTAGTTTCTTTCAAATATATATATTTATTTATTTTCATTTTTTTTATCTTTTTTTGAAAAAAATCTCACTTGTTTATTTTCCTTCATTCAAGTTCTTGTCTTTGATACTAAGAGGCTCGAATACTATTTTTAAAAGAAAGTTTTAGATGCCAAGAATTTGCAAGGTAAAATCTCTAAGACAAAATGTTAAAAAAATAAACCAAGTTCTAAATACATGTAACATCTAAAAGACATGCAGTTTGGACACCATATAAAGATAAAAAATAAAATAATAAAATAATAGAATCCATGAAAATTGTTGCGCCTTTGTCAAATTGGTGATACCTTATCATATTCAAAGGTACATTTGCTATTATCAAGAATGCAAGGATATTCTTAATATTTTAACATACTCAAAGAATATATATATATATATATATATATATGAGATTTTTTTATATTAATATTATTTCTCAATATATTAATTTTAAAAAAAAATAATTAATATAGAATATTTAAATATTCATAATAATAATATAATCTTGAAATAAAATTTATGCAAATAAAAAAATTATAATTTTTTGAAATTATAATATCCAATATTATTTAGTAATAATATACATTAAGTTAAGTTAAATAAAATCAATTGTAACATGCATTGTCAAATTAGATATTGATTGTTTAGAAATTCCTATATGCCTTGGTACAATTTTAATTTGTCATTTTTTCCAATCACTACAAGTCATCAAAAATTTTCCACATACAAATGTGCAATGATTATTAATGTCTATATATGATAAATTATAATTAAAATATTAAAATTTTAGATTCATAATTTTAATAATTTTGAGATTGATTTAAGGTATGTACATCAATGAGATTTTAGTCATTCAATGTGTTTGTATATATAAGTATGTATGTATAATGTAAGAATCTAACACCTAATTACTTAGTTTCTTACATGCATAGATTTATGCAATTTCTAATAACAGTTTTAATTCATCCAAACTAAGTGGAGGCAATTGCATAGCATATTTTAGTTTTATAACATTGCTTTGTTAATAAATATGCTGAGTTTACTCAACTTCTTTTTACATTTCTGCCAAGTGGCATTAAATTCTCATTAAATTCTTTGGGTTTAAAGAATAAATCATGTTCTGTGAAATACTTACTCATTTTATTATATCACGCATTAGATTTAATATGAAAGTCCATGTAAGGCTATACATTGATTTGAAATAAAAATACTAGCTAGTGCACATTTATGAGTTCTTAAATAAATTAAGGTCAGTCAATTAGATCAATTTCAGATTGTTTTTAATCCTCTGATATGAACAATTATAATAATAACAACTTTAATTACATGGCAAAAAGAAAAAATTCAAAATTCTTTAAAGATACATGAAAGTGAAGATATTCTCGGATTTTACTCCATTTTTTTTTTTTTTTTTTTTTTTTTTATCTAAATTTAAAATCCACAGATACAGTGAGAGAATCGTACAATTAAATTATTGAGCTACTTTGACAAAATAAATTCTTAATAGTAAAAATTGTTTTCCAATCACATACTCAAAAATGTTTTTTATTTTTAAAAATTACATAAATTGATAAAATGTATTTTAAACTAGTATACTAAAATTCTAAGCTGAGATGTTCATATTTGCAATTAACACAATAGAATAGATTTAAGAACACCTAATTAAACGGAATTCATCCAAAGAGAAACAAATTCATCCTGAGTGGAGAATACCCCATGACTGCAACCCGAAGCCTCCGTGGGGGACCCATAACCGCGCCTTCCGACACCGAAACCCTAAATTAAGCTCGTCGAGAGACTTCGTGACTTGGGGCCCTCAATAATCAGACACGATGTTAGCGTTTTCTCAGGCCTTTTTGGGTGTTAGCATTAATACAGGGTTTTGTTAATAATGTACAAAAGCGGAGAGAAAAAGAGGGGTTTCAAGATTATCAGGAGTTGAGGCGGTCATTTGAGTCCCGAAATATGCAATTTGGGTCAGAAATCGTCAAATTGCGACAACCAAATAAGTGAAAATGGAGGGAGGTTGGGTGGAGGGAAGAGCCTGTCAGCTGAGAATATGGAGAAGCTCAGCCTCTATCTCTCCGTCACTGGATCGAGAATTAGACTTCCGCTTCTTCTTCTTCTTCTTCTTCATCTCCTTCTACTTGTTCTTTTCTTCTTTTTGCTGTGTATGTGGTTAGGGGTATATTTTGGAGATGAAGCCTCCGAGACTGGAATGCGGTTTGTCTGTCTGCTTGCCCGCCCCTTCAAAGTCCAAGTCTAAGGACGAAGTTGCACTTCCGCTGACCTTTCTTCTCCACCACTAGCACTCCTAGTTGCAGTTGACGTACTGCTAATTCCTCTTCTTCTTCTTCTTCTTCATTATATTCTCCCACTGTGGATGAGAGCCAGTGAGGGGCATTGACACTGGAATGGTTCGTCCCGAGGTGGGCTTTTGAGGGAAGCGCTGCAAGATGAAGATAGGGGTGTTCGAGTTTGCGTGGGCCGAGAAAAGTGATAATGACTCCTCCCAGAAAAAAAGTGACGATGCCAACCTCCTCTGAAAACCCTAAGTCCTTTACCAACAAAAACCTGTGCATGTGTGTGTGTGTGTTGCCTGACAGTGTTGTTGTTGTTATTGTTGCTGCTGCTGCTGCATTTGAGCATGCACCGCTATGAAACAAAACTGAAAAGGGAACGCAGCTAGGGAATTCAAACACAGACGATCCTGCTGATGGTTGCCACGACATACTTCTGGTTTTTCTCCTTCGAGGTTAGCTTCAATGGTCCCTCTCGATGCAAAATACAAAGAAAGAATTTTGCCACGCTGGTTCCTCATGGAAAAAAAAAAAAATACAATTAAAAACCCAGGATTTCTCGTCCCTGTCTTCTTTTCACTGTTGCTCCACTCTCCCGCACGTGCGTTTTCTTGTTTTTATAAGTTTGAGAGATGAGCTCCAGGTGAGTGGAAAATGGAGTGATTCGTTTCTATTTTAATTTCATTCTATTACGTTTTTTTCTCTTCTGGGCGGCAGGGGAGGATCTAATGACTTGTTTGAGGAGTGTTGACGGAATTAATGCGTGCCTTGAATGCCATCGGCGTTGCTGATGCTGCTGTGGTTGTGAATGATGCACAGGGCATGTGATAAGCCTGGAGGAGGGGCTTGTAAAGATCAAAACAGAACAAGGGTTTTTTAACGTCATATTAGTTCATATATTTACCTATACACACACACGCACATTCAAACAATTTCAGAGTTTATAGACTGTGAAGTGGGCATCCAGTTATTAAGGATTCTCACATTGGACTTGTCATTCAAGGTAAGTTTGTTGATTGACTAAAACAAACATGAAAATTGATTGTACTCTACATTTGTGGGAAACAATGCCAAAGTTGATTTTGTGGGTTCCATCCATCCTTTTACTCACTTGTGTGTATCTGTACTGGCAAGGTATCATGCAAACACGGTCTGGAACTGCACATTATTCTTCTGCAGTAAAAATAAATAATCATGGGTAAGTACCCAATACGTGTGATCTCAATCCGTTTTTTTTTATATAATTTTAAGGAAAATTAAGTAATTGCAACTAAATTTGGCAGCGTGAAACAGTTCAACGGTTCATTTTATTTTTAATTTATTTTTAAATGTTTTTCTTTAGAAGTTGCAATAATTTGAGCAGATGGCTGGTAACAGGTTGCTGCACAGTACCATCTTAGTAGAAAAGACACATTCTCGTGACTCATCGTTGTGCAATAAGTCCCTCCGATCACTCGGATTCTTTCGTTGAACCTTAAACCTACACAACACGAGAGCGTTTTTCTACACACGCAAATGGCATCCTTGCAGACACTTAAGGCAAGGGGATGCAAAAGCAATTTTTGTCACCGTATGTAGAATTGAAACAGCTCCTTCTGTTTGAACAGACTGGATGGCTCTAGTGAGGAAGTCACTGCGGACTGGGGGCATTGAATCAGGTTTGTTACAGCCCTGGGGCCTCAACAACCACGCCATCGCTGCAATGGTCTCTTTTACAAAGAACCCGCGTCTTTGCAGCCTTTATATATATTTTTGTTTTTTGTTTTAACAGACAAGCCCATTTAAACTTCCCTTGTACTCTTTGTGAAAACAACGTTGGAGCTGCTGATGGGCATTTGAAGAGATTTTTCCCCTAACAAGTTCACACTGCAATCAGAGCACTCTTAAACACATACAGAACCCCCGCCATTACAGCCGTGCAATGAAATTGTCAACACAGAATATGAGCCTCTGTAAAGACCGGCCAGGCCTAACAGTAACCTCCGGGGAGTCATTCACATGCATCGCATAAATTGATGTGACAATCATGCGACCATTTGGCTGGTTGTTATTTATGCATGGGAGGGGACCACAAAAGCTCGGCCATTGAAGGTTATGGTTGAATCTGGTGGTGCATAAACTTGGGGTATCTACAGACAGCTACTCCCCGATCACGATCCATGCACATACTACTGTTACCTTGCGTTAGCATTTTCTAGAAAAGTCAATGACCACTTGTAGCATGTTGGTATTTCAACGAGATTCTTGGGGTTGCCAGTAGAGGACAAACAGCGTCCCATTCTTTCAGTGTGCTTGGGTATTGCACTAATGGGATTCCTCGCTACCAGTACATATCGCTCGCCAGCACGACATGAGTCAAGACCACGCAGGGAGAATTCAAAGCTTAGCTTAGCGTTTCCCATGAACGACCTAAGCAGTCAAGGAAGCTTCTGCAAGTGCAATGTACATGAAGTTTTCGTAACTGATACTCAAATCATAGGAGAAAAGGATAAAAAAGCGGGTAATTGATAGTAAGGGAGTGCGTGTGTACTTGAAGAAGCGAAACCAGAGCTCTTGTGCACAGTAAGCCTCTTTCTTTTTCTTTTTTATTATTATTATCAGGTGCAGGGGGATAACATCGAAGCACTTCTCACCACTGCACAGTAATTTTTGAATGGTGCTGGAACATGAAATTATGCTTTGTGCATCACATTTCATAACTAGTGCTCAAGAACGTCAAAATCCTATTACCTAGTGCATGCCTACTATGTCGATGTGGTATAAAATACACGTAGGAGCGGGTGTTACTGGCACACCTCAGCAACCATATTACTTCCTCGATAGACTCAAGGCTATAGTAGGATTAGAGTAGAAATCGATAGGGACCTGTGAAGAGCAGCAGCAGCTCGAAAAAGAGCGAAGCTAGTTCTACTCAATAATCTGCACCTACTGCTCGAGATAAAGATTGAAGTGGAGGAGCTAAGCTAGCTATACTAGCTACGATAATTGAGAATAATACCAGACAGACAGACAGCGGGCGAGGTATACAACGCCTCTGCTACAGCTTGAAAACACCATTCACAAACTAATCTACGTAAAAATAAACTAGACTATGGTCACCATGGATCGTTGAGGGCCATGGTTAGAAATTGACGCCTTCAAATGTCTGGCCGAACTGCCAGTTATTGGGGGCAGCGTCGTAAGAAATGGCCACAGCTCCGTCGCTGGTAATGGTCTTAAACGACAGAGCCTGTCCCTTCATCTTGCTATTGCCAGTGAACTGCCACATTGATCCCCAGTTGCGGGACATTGGCTCCCAGGGAGTGTTAGACCCCTTGATATACACCTGTTGCAAGTCTCCGGCACCGGCAACGTTGGTTACGAGCACCAGCAAGAACCAAGGATTGCCGTTAATGGTGAAATGCATGCCGCCGGACTTCACGCAAGGAACTCTGCAACATGAGCAACACATGATGTTAGGATCTAACCATAGGCTCACATACACACACACACATATAAGAAGGCAGACAGAATAAGATAAACTAAAATAAAATACAGGTAAACTTTTCAATTTTTCATTTGTTCATTTTAAACTGGAATTAACAAATGTTATCTATTCTCTTCTTGCGTCATTGCTGCTAGAAGAAACATTTTGGAGTGAGTGCACGACATGGAAAGCGTAAGACTTGAAAAGCCGATACATGGAATTGCGAGTTCGGAGCAATAGCTTACCTTCTGAACTTGATAGGTATGACGCCTCCGACCTCCTTCGCAAGAGTGACGAACATGGGGTGAGCGAGGTCGAAATGCTGCTTGGGGGAATCGCACCATCCTCCCAAGGAACCATGAGGACAGAAGTTAGTTGCCGTCACCGTGACAGTTCGGCCACCTGGAAGACAGTACTTGGAGCCATTGGGATCGCAGGCGAGCTCGTAGCAGGAACCGCAGCTGAGGCCGCTGTTAAACAAGGCCGCACTGAGTGCCGCGGTGTTGGTTCCGTAGCCAGTGCTGTAGAGATTCCCAAATCCACAAGCCCCACCTGCATTCCAAGAACCGTGCCAAGAAAGTTAGAAAGAGTGAACCCAGAACCTGCACTCCGGCGGGGGAAGGGCAGAGAGCGCACCATCAGAGGAAGCCGCTCGAAAGGTCAGATTCGAGCTCCTCTTAATACAACGAGGTGCATTCCGTAGGAACTCTACCGACCTCTTCAGACCGGACAGTCCATACTAAAGTAAAAAAAAAACAAAAAAAAAAAAAAAAAAAAAAAAAACTACGAAGAAAGATGCAAGACGTGGACCGAGCACGACTCCTCAGGGGTAAGAAGTGATAACGTCGTATGTGGGGACTTGCACTAACTGCAAGATCAAAGGAATGTGACCACGCTCATGAAAGCACGTTCGTAATACGACACATTGCCATTTGGACGATGACAAGGATCGTAGCTACCGCAAAAAAAAGGAAAAAAAGAAAAAGGCCATTACACTGAGCTGCTATTCGAAGAGAAGGCGTCAAAAGGCTCCCAAAACCTGTCTAAGCACAAACTCTACAAAGATGCCATGGCTCTTAAATGACAATGGCATGCCATGAAACACGAGGTCCTCCGCAGCAATACTGCGCCAACCCACCTTGAGTCCCTGACGCATCAGCTCCGCCGTAGTAAGTGGCGTGGGCGTATCCCCAACCCCCCGCCATGAAGTCACTTCGGGCCTCCACTCGAAAGGACGTCACCAACATCAACGCCAAGAGAGTCCACACCATGGCCATAGCTCTCCCTCCCTTCCTCCCTCCCTCCACAGGTCCACAAGTACACAACCTACCTGCAAAAATCTAAACTTGGTATCTCCTACCACTGCAAAATGGCAATGCCGCGGAAGTGACAAGGTGCTGATATGGGTTATGGATGCCGCTGTAGTTGTTGATAAGGAGAGGGGTGGGAAGATAACGACTCGATTGGTGAGAAACAGGAGCGGAGCTTCTGGCAGGGGGTATCAAATATTGTACTAACTCCGCATGACCATCAATCTGAAGCCCAACTCCCTGCAGTTTTGCTACAACACCTGACGGAATGGGGGGAAAACACCGAGCAGGTGAGACGAGGCTGGTAGGCAGTGAAGACGGGAAAATGGCAGCAGCAGCAGCAGCAGCGATGGAGGCGATGGTGATCATACAGGGCAGAGGGTGGAGGTATATATAATGTGACTAATCTTTCAATTATCGCCCTCCCTTGCGTTTACATACCGTCGGCACTAGCTGTACCTTCGGTACCTTGACGACTCCCGAAGTCCATATCCTGAGCAACCGGAATACTGCTGCTGCTGCTCCTCCTTCTCCTCTCCCTCCCTCGCTCGCTTGCGTCACCATTCAACTGGGTTGAAAAATACAATAAACTAATAAATATGTATACTGACAGCAAAATAACCAACAAAAAAAGAAGAAAAAGAAAAACGAATTCGAGTTCAATGTTTGTCGCAGTCGTCGTCGTCGTGTGTACAGTCGATGATCCACGCTAAGGTCAAGAATATGTCAGATTCATGCATTTTTTTATATTATGTGTTGTTCCCATTTTGTTTAGACTTCCTGCCAGGTGAGTAAATGGTTAAGTAGAGATTCTTTTTACTTTTTCTGTTTAGCTTAAGGTAAAAAAATAAATAAGAAAAAACAGGTAGCTTTTTAGTCACACCTGAGATTGGAAGCAAAGGGCCGTGGTGTTTGTCAACAGGTCAAATGGACAGAAAAGCAAATTTAGATAGGGAGAGCCCTGTGATGTGCCACTATATACCACCTAGACTGAGATGCTTGTGGTGATCATGGATTAACCTTGGAGATCAATCAAGCATGGGGAGAGTCAACAATAGTGAGAGACATTCTCTCTTTTTTACACCACAGTTTTCTAGATGTAGATTTTGTTGGAGAATCAGGGGATCTACAAATGATTCAAGGTGGGGTAATAGCTCAGTTCCCCTATTTATTTATTGATATGTTTTTTCTTTGAACACTGACTAGTATTGAAAGGATGGATTTCAAGAGAATGGGGAGGGACTGGGCCAGATCTATTCAGACACCATGAAACCAGCTGTACAAACTGGGTTTGCCCCTTTATTGTACCTGCCCCAGCCAGGCAGCCAGCCCATGTTAGGGCACTTATGTAGTCCGCTTATACTTCACTCTCAAGAGTTTAAGTCTGAGCCCTACTCTCTCTATCACTCTCCCTCTCTCTTTCTCTTGCACTCCCAGCATGCTTCATTCAATGACAGTAGGCACCATAGATGGCATGTGCCTTCTCATGCTGTTTCCAGGGACTCAAGGCAGCCACAGCCATGTGTGCTGTGTGAGTACATGTTTCCTTCATCATTCAGCTCATGCCAATCTCAGTGTTTAATGCTCCTGTGAAGCTGTGATGAGAGAGACAATCTCTGTGGGTTTTTGCAGAGCCCATGTGAAAAACCACAAACACACACACACACACAATGGGGGAGGGTAGGGGATGACATGTTTTGCAGAGTGTGCTGCCTGCAGTTTTCTTTACTCTAATTTTTTTCTACCCAAGTTTCTTTTGCTGTGGCTGCATTCCATCCCATGCCCTAGTCTAGGCTGTGGTTGCACAATCATTGAACAGTGAACATGTACCCACTCCTCCTGGATCAAAAACCACCCTAAAAAATTTCCTGTTTTTTATTGGTTTTTTTTTTTCAAAATGGGGAATTCAAAATACACTGCCTTTTAGTGTGGTGATGATAGGAACCCTCCTCTCCAAGGAGGGAGAGCTGTCCACCCCCTCACAGAGCCCATGATAATGATATGATGATGATGATGATGATGAGGGGGGACGGGACAATGGTGCCATGCCAAGAAACCAAGCTTGAGAGGAGGGGGCGGTGGGGGGGGGGGGGGGTTATCGGGTCAGTTACTGGCTTTTGAAATGATGCCCGGTTCCTTCCTGGTTCCACTCCTCGTTCTCGATAGGAGTTTCGATACCCGGATAGCTCGGTAGACGGCCATTGATACCCGAATTATGATACTGTGTCGGCCACGGCAGGCGTTGTGGCTGTGGCCCCCCGCTGCAGCAGCAGCGCGAGTCTGGCAATTTGCGCCTCCTGCTTCTCATTGCTTTTTCCACAGTTTATGTGTGATTTGCAACCCACATTACGATAGCAGCAGCAGCAGGAGGAGGAGGGGATGGGGCTTCTACACTTGATGAGTTCCTCCGTTTCGGAAGAAAAAGCTCAAGGTGTGGCGCTTGTTGAAGGCTAGCTTGGATGGTCCTGCCATAGTCATTTAATGCTACTGTTTGTCCTCGCGGGGAGGTCATCTCACACGGGGCGGGGTGGAGGGGGGCGGGGGGAGGCGACAAACGAGTGGAGAGGGGAAAAGGATAGTAGCCCTTTAACTTGTTGCCAGTCAACATTATTTGGTGGTGCGGTGCAGTGCGGTGGAGAGTTTCCGGTGCCAGTGATATTGCGTTGTTGCGCGGGGCTCGATCTGGAAGGTAGTGTCAGGAAGGCGCCTTGGTGCTTTTTGTTTCACTCGTGGCGAGCTCTTTGCCAACGTCGTTTGATTGCCGCCCCTTCGCGTAGCCTCGTCGGAGCTCTGACGCGGGTGATTGAGGTCGCTGTGAAACGTCCGCCCCGAAGACAGCGACTGTCGGTTGATGATCGGCTTCTCCTTCACCTCTGGGATTCAGTGTAGCAGCAAAATTCATGATAAAGTGAACAAAATTCTTTATTTCTCCGAAGAGATACTGGACTACATTTTTCTGTCGCTTGACAACTTTCGAGGAAAAGAAATGAGATAGAAAATAATTTCTAATTCTAGTTTCATCGTATTTAAAATAAAATAAAAAAAATTGAGTAGTATTGAAAGCTGATCTTAAGAGTCTACATCGTTGATTCAAAAAGTGCCAAATGCAATGAAATTCCAAGCCAGACTAAACATGAGGTCATTCATTTCGAACTTACCTTTTTCCCCGTAAAATAAAAATATTGGTTACAAACCAGGTGGGTACACAGTACTCATGTTTGAAATTCACCTTAATTCCACAGACATTGTACACTTTAGAATAGTAAAAGTGGATGTCTCACTTCTAACCAACATTCTCATTCCATGTTTCTTCTTATCAATAATAAAAATTACAGAAAAAAAGAATCAGATGTTCGAATTTCGGCGCTCATCAGTGGCAACTGGGTGCCATTCCCACCTCACAATTTTGTAGGGTTTGGTACCCACCCTTCTCTGTAGTCAGAAGTGTAGTGAACTGCTCTTGAAGGTGGTTATAATGAGGACTGGAAGAAGAGATACTACCAGAAGGCTTTTGTTAATAGATATCAGATTGTTTGGAAACTAGAATATCTTAATGCATTTGCTGTTATATGAACGTGTTGTCAAGGCCTTTCAAGCCAGCAGGAGAGTTCACTTATGAATGGTGAGTTATGAGCAAACTTGCCACTTAGCGACTTAAATATAGCCAGGGTTTAGCGATCTCTTCAGTCAACGCCAGATTCTGAATAAATGGCGATAAGAGACTGAGAGAGAGCGAGATCTGCTTTCCCATACTTTCTTTTGATGGTTGTGTTGTTGAGACTTTTGCAGTAATTAGCGCTGCGAGTATTAGCCGATGTGGCTAATTTATCTACAGTACCGCATAAGGATCTTGTGTGTATGTCTGTATGTATATGTGGATATATATACAAATGATTAAATTGAAGTCTTTCGTTTTGGAAACTTACATATAATGCTCCTTGGTGGGCTTTGAAATTCTTGCAAGGTGAACTATTTTTACTGTGGGTATTAGGAGATTTTTTTTTGTTATGTGTGTGTTTTTGTTTTGTTTTCTCCTACCCGATATCCAATCACATAACCAATGAATTGTGAGAGTCAGGGGGCTGTAAAAATGTGGCAAGAAAATGACAGAAAAATCCCTCACAGTTATCCACAAGTCTGGCCTGGTTTGTCCTACCAACTCTGCAAATGTGATTCGGCTGAAACCGATTCTTGTCTTCACGATAATAATGTGCATGCAGCCATCTTTGCGAACCTTTTCCTCTGTCACTTGTACTTTGTAAACGAAAATGAGACCGGAAATTCTTGACGCCAGCACACAATTTTAATTACATGAATGACAAAGACGATCAATAATTTTCCACCCTGCAACCTCTTCAGAATCCTACTTGAATACATATAATAGCTTTTTCTTTGTTACAATAAATGTTATTCCGTATAGTCCCAATTGGATAAAGCCGGTGTCCTTATCTGTCATTTGATCAATCTGTCACCTCCCCCCCCCCCCGGCCCCCTACATTAGCGTTTGTTAGTTCGAAGCCTCTGCCTTGGCACGCTGTTCCATGAAACAAACCTGAGAGATAGACCACTGGACGAACTGATGTACCCAGCATTACAATTGTCAGTTTGTTGTATCCAATTCCATCTAACCACCTAATGCACAGACATAAATGGAAAGCGGTGTGTTATGCAACGGAAAATCCATCCCAACGTCTAAATGCGTGTTATTTACTTAGCATGAAGAAACAGAGAGACGATGCAACGTAACTGTAGTCACCAAAGCTGGAAGTTCAAAATCGGATTTTATTTGCAAGAGCAATCCGCAACAGCAACACTGCGCCATAACATCCACTAGATACTTCCATCAAGGCTCACATCGAATAATAAGATATTCCCATATGTTGATCTTTGTAACACGTTCCGTAACGCGGTGTCTAGGGTAGACTCAGTGAACAGAAAAAAGGTGAACAGAAGTGATGGTAAGCAAGAATATAACCCTCCGTCTTCCGGATTAGGTGATGACTGCTACCAGTTCCGGACACAGCAGATCGACCGAATTCCCGGAGCGAAGACCGTAGAAGCAAAGTGCACCCAAAAGGACATGGACCGAAGTAATCATTTTCAGTGCACTTAGGTTGCGGTTTCTGAGGTGGGATCTCCCACCCCCGCCCCCTAACACATGTGGTAGACTGTAAGGAATCCGCACACTGGTCCGTCGTGACTACCAATCCACCTTAATCTGCGTCGTAGTACTAAGTTATCCTCCAAACCGCCTTACAATCAGCTGACACCCAAAGGCCAGCCAATCCAGCTGCAAGCCCTATTATCACCCCTCTCCCCTCTTAGAATTGTAGTTGTTGTTGTTTATTAATTTATTGATATTTTGCTTGTAACAGGATTGGGGTAACGTCAAGAGCAAATTGGCCATAATGGCACTTATGCTTAAACAGTGAACTTTCCCTCTTTTCCTTCTGGGTGTCTACATGTTGCATGTAGTACTGTAGTTAGTTGTCTGTTCGCGGAGTCGGATAGCCAGTAGGTGAATTTTTCACCAGTACGAGCTACTTGCAACCCCTCCCTATGAAAGCCTATCACTTTATACATTCCAGCAATGTATGCACTACCCACAATGCGTAACGTTTCGGTTCTTCTTTGGTGTGTTTGCGGAGTGGGATGCATGAAGTGTAGGCTTGGAACCCTGCTGCATGATATCCCCTGACAGGACTAGCTGATTGACCATGTGAGTTGCATGCTCTTAACAGGTGACGTAGTGAGGTGAAGATCCTTTTTTGACTGTTCTTCGAGGTCAGGTTAGGCGGATAGTTGGGTCCCAGCCACGGAGCTCCGCCCGTTGGTATCATACATGCGCTAGTTGCTTATTGAACTGGGAATCGGTTAGGTGCAAAACTCGCTGCTGTCTACATACGGTGTGCCAAAAAGCAGAGAGAATGAGAACAAGACGCAAAGTAGGATTAGGGTTTTTGCTTACGAAGGTAAATTTTGATGACTGTGTGGATGGGTGAGCTTTGTCGAGACGCTCCAAGCGGCAATTTTTTATCCTTGGGATTGCCGCAGCGGCGTCCCATTGTTTGTCGTAACCCTTGCACGGCTCTGACGAGTGAGATGCGCTTGCCGGACCAGCTGACATCGTTGACGAGCGAGTACCGATCTCTGGATAGACAAACTCGCTAGTGATCGTGGTTGATCAACTCGTCATTGAATTGGTACTGCTATCGATCGCGCCGGCACCATTCCATTAGGAGATAATGAACCACATCATAGGATTCAGCTAAGGTTTGTTTCTTTCTCGTCGGCTGGTGTGATGAAAGTCACGTTCACAGGTAGGCGTCTGACAGATTAGCAGTCCGCGAGACGCACAATTCCGGCACGAGATCGTTGATAGTCCCTCCACATGCATGTGGGGGACCTGTGGGTAGATTTATGATAGCAGCAGGTGGCATGTCTGTCGGTTGGATCTCCTGCCTCGCAAACTGTTTCGGGGGTCCCTACCATCGTCGAGGTCAAAGCTGCTCTTGTGTCGATCGCGAACAGTGGCTGATGAGCCCGACGCAGATGATTGCCGCCAGTGCGTCGTCCTCTCGGACTCTCCCTTGTCGATCACTCTTGGGTCGAAAGTCTCCAGCCTGTTTCAATCACGAGTCGGTCGGTCGATCGGATCAAAGCATGAACTGATTGATTGCTGGCTACTAGTTGCAACACCACCACCATGTCCATCATCGTTCGGTTGATTGTTTGTTTAGTCTGTACAGTTGCTGTCTGCTTCTGACGAGGCTGCACATGTGGCTGTGTTTCGTCCCGAGAGACAGTGGTGTCAGATGCCCACTTTTGAGCCTCATCAGCCAGAGAACTGTTGGGTGCAAACCGGAAGTCGTTTGTATCACTCGTCCCATCGGTTTGGGAGTCTTCTTTGGTCTGCGACGCTGCCCAATCATCAAGGTCTCCATCACCTTATTACCCTTGGGATACAATCAAACCCTGGTCATTCTCTTTGTCCCTGTCAGCACCGGTTCACTATGCCATCTTCACGGATCTCGGGAATTTGAGGTTCACGAGGCACGGCTCCCGATTGTTTTGGTCCTTACTTTTGATGAATCCTAAGCGTAGTTATCGTTATCTTGCTCTCAATCTCTTGAAACGCCGCATGCCCACTTTCTCCAGTATTACACTTCTTTAGTTGATGATATTCACACAACTCCTCACAGTAAAATTTCAACGTCGACATCCCCCCCCCCCCCCCCCCCCCGAATCCACTCATGCAGATCATGACGAGATCCGCAGTGAGGACGATCATATTAGATTCCCATTTCCTCAATTCAATTCACCCAAAAGAAAATGTGCACAAAACTATCGCCAGCTGAATTGAGCAACAGCACCTGAGCTGCAGATTTCACATATCCGTGTCCAGTCCTCGAGAGCCAGAAACGGGTCTGATGCAACACACGAGCACAACCCTATCATCTTTACTGCGCCAAATCCCGTCGATCGAGACACTCTTTTGGGCGGTGCGCATGACATATGTGGGGTGCAAGCCAGAGAAAAGCTGAACAAGGCCACTCACCGCAGCTGGGGTTAAATTTTCTCACATCTTTAACCAGCTACGTAACCGCTGGATTTTGATCACGGGGTGAAAGCAGCCATGAATGTACTTAAAGCTGTCGATAGTTATTGCAGTAGTGCTGTTACTAGAAATGTGTCGGTCCATGTGGAGATCGGTGTCACACAGCAACCTTGGATCAACGTCCCATCCTCATCTAAACCTGCAAGTCCTCCTCTCATTTATCGGTTTGTTTGCAGGCGCAGGACGTCACAGTTTCAACTTTGAACCTCATGCCTTGAAAGCGACGCCCCTGGGATGTCGAAGGCGATTCCTAACCAATTTTTCCAACGTCATATTGTTTCGTCTCTGATTCTCAATTTTGCAAAACTTGCAACTAAATCCCGCAAGGGTCGTTGCAATGTTGATGGCGAATGCTTCTGTAGTTCCTCTATTGCAGCAGAATCACTAAGTACATGGTATAACGGTGTCATGGTTCAAGAGACCAAGAACTTGGAGTTGTTTCAACTATATCGGTTACCAAACCAGGATGAGGGGAGAGTTCACTTCCACGATACACATTACATTTGCTAATATTGCAAGTCAAGTTTAGGAGAGGAAATTCACATTATGCTGAGATTGAAAACGATCATCGCATGCTTCTATCACCTCTACAAAACAATGAAAACACCCTACTAAAACTGCCAACATGCGCATAAGCAGCTGACATTACTGGCTAAAATGTATCATTATTGCAGTTTCTGTATTCTTGCGCTATGATCACGGAAGAATGTGCCCTCAGTTAAAACTGATCAATTTCAGTGGAAAATAGTGATGCCACTACGGCGACCAGTAAATTCAAAGTTATAACCCACAAAAATGCTTCTATCGCTTGCAGTTCACTCTTGCCCTCCTACAGTTGCAGGTCGAGGAATCTTCACATAATACGGCACGCACGAAATCACCGCCAAATATTTCGACGGGGGGAAATGCTAATAGATCACTTGTGGTCACATTATTGCATCTCTCATTGGAAGGAAGAATTTCAGCCCGCTAACACCATGACTGGCGCCATCTGAGCTTTATTGACCAGGAGAGGGAGAGTCAGGAAGGGGATCTGGGTCACATGCAGCATCGGTGAGTTGCAACTTCAGAAAGTTCAGAAATAGAAGTCGTCGAACCTCAAATCATTCAGTAATTCTTTCTTAATCTTCTCGGAACACTTCCACTCTTGACCATGGCTCGATTCCTGGGGGTTTTTCATTGCTGGAAATGGTTACATGAACCATAGCAACCAAAGTTGTGAGCCTTGCAAAATAAGGTAGATTAGAAAAATAAATAATAAAAAAATTTTAAGGAGGAAGTTAAGAGTGGATTCTAGTAAAAATTACTTAGAAAAACTAGATGTTGATACCTAGAGAAGGCCGGTTATGAACTAGGGTCGAAATCAGACCCAAAGGCACAAAACCGAGTCTTGACCATTACTTCGGAAATCTTTGGTGAATCGGAAAGTGGGGTTTGATAAAAGATTAAACAAGGTTTTTATGAGCATTAGTTTTGGGTGATTTGGATCTGTATTGACTTCGTATGAGCTTTGCAAAGTCAAGGTTAGTTTCGGATGACTTGGATTTTGTGAAATAAAATAGGGTTTATATTTAAGATGATTTCAAGAGTTTTGTTATAGATCTATGGGTGAAATTTTGTGGATTAATGGTTATAATTGTGTTGAATATATGTTGTGAATTTGAGCTCGATCTAATGATTGAATTGAGGATTATTGAGGTTTAAGTGAGTCATGGTCTCAGAAAGTAGAATTTTAGGTCTAGTCAGGGTTTTCAAGATTTCTTGCAATCTAGTAGTTGGATTGGAGTAAAATTTATGTGAGAGAATCATAGACTTATTTTTCTATGTGTATGAGAATTTTGAGATCAATCGAACGAGAAAAAGAAGAGATATTGGCTTTCGGAGATTGGCATCAAGGTTGGATAAGGAGGTTGGCCAATATCCAAGTATATTTTTGAGATTATCGTCTATTTGATAATTCCAATCCTTTTAAAAAAATTTGTGCTTATTTTTAATTTAGTTTTTCAAAAGTGTGAATAATTTGAATTAGGATCAATGGTTTATTCATTAGTTAATGAGGTTTAAATCTGTTATAGGAATTACTAGGATTTGATAAGGGATTGGTTTAGGGTTTCGAGTTTGATGACGATTTGATATAGGATAAGGGTTTGATTAGAATTTTATTTGAGATTTCTGATTTGGATTAGGATTTGATTAGGATTTGATTTAGGATTTAGGATTTGGTTTAGGATTTGATTAGGATATGATATAGGATTTGTTTAGGATTTGATTTAGGCTTTAGTTGGGATTTGGTTTAGGGTTCAAGGTTTAGTCAGGGTTTGGTTTAGGTTTAGGGTTTGATTTAGGATTCAAGGTTTAAGGTTTGATTGGGATTTGGTTTAAAATTTAGGATTTGATTTAGGATTTAGGGTTTGGTTGAGATTTGGTTTAGGATTTGTTTAGGATTTGTTTGGGGTTTGATTTAGGATTTAGTGTTTGTTTAGGATTTGACTTAAGATTTAGGATTTGATTTAGGATTTAAGATTTAATTTAAGATTTAAGATTTTATTAGAATTTATTTAGGATTTAAGATTTAATTAGTTTTGGCCTAAAGTTTGAATGAAGTCCAATAGGATTTTAACTAGGATTAAATTAAGATTAAATTGAGATGTATTTGAGAGATATTTGTAATCATTCTAATATTTCTTTAAGATTTCTTATTGTTTCTTTGAAATTTCTTATTGTTTCTTTGAATTTGATAAAAGCTTGCTTAGCATAATTATAGTCTAATTAGAGTATTATTAGTAATCTATTAGAATTAGAATTTTATTGTTGCAATTTCCATTCTACATTCCACAGTCAAGTGCCCGGAGCATTCTCAAGCAAGACTTTACGTATTAGAATACCACACTACTTATAATTCAATGACTAGATATATGCCAATAAAATTGATACAAGGACAAAAGCCTATTATACAAATTGAAGAATAAATATCTACTTGGAGTGTTTTACCTTGATAAGACAATATATCTAAGGAAGGATTTCTTGTACTTCAAATTTGTCAACTAGGGAAGAAGCCTGAGGACATAAAAAAGGTAATTATGAAGTTGAAAGAACCACACTTAAAAAACAAAGATAGATTTAATAAGCGGCATCAATTAAAGCCACAAAAAATTCATGAAAGTGATTGAGTACTTGTTTATGACAATAGTTTAGATAACCAACATAATACCTTACAAAAAAAATTAAAACATTGGTTTAGGCCTTATGTGGTTGTAAATATTCTAGATAATGCTACATATGTATTAAGGCAATTAAATGGAACACACCTTAAAGTTTCAATTGCAGAAAAACATATGAAATTTTTTAAGCAACAGAATCATGATACAATGGATGAAGGTACTGGAAAAGATATGGATTTATTTACAATTAAAGAAGAAGAAACAGATCAAAATGAAGATAATGCTGAAGAAGTAATGTGATGCCAACGACAACTTTGATTCTTCTAAGTACGCACCAAAGAATACATAGGTTTGGAGGGAATGTGTGAGTATAAATTTTTAATCCTCAATCCAAGTTACAAGATGGCCTCAATTAAGAGTTGCTTGTAATTGGTGGTATAAAGTGAAGTAAGCAAATAACAAGAACAAAAGAAGAATAACCACAAAGCAATTGAAATAAATGACATGAAACAATTACAACATCCAAAACTAAGTCACACTTTGTTCACTGTATTTTTACCTAGTAAAAATAAAAGTAAAAAAATTAAAATTATATTTTTAGATAGTTAATTTTTTTTTTTTCAATGACATAAGAAACATGTAAATCCGAATTACTATGAGTAAGTTATGAAGTTTTAAAGATATGAAGTAAATAATTAAAAAGTGAAGTGAAAATATTTTACCTCAAAGGTAATTTGCTTATAGATCAAGGGTTCGAGCCTCACCAAGGCTCACATGTAATGTATAAGGGTGTTTTAGAGAGGCCACGAAGCCTTCATCTTATCCTCCTAATTACCTTCAAGGTACTACAATCCACACGGGACTTGTGGATTCCCCTTCCTACAAGGACTATACTAATTGCTAGTCCTCCTATTTTCTATTAGAAGGACCAACCTTTTTATAATTTTGACCTCATCATGGTGTTTAAAAACATCCAATCAGCCTAGGAACCTTGTGTGGCCTCCAAATCTTGCTCCATTTCTTCATAAAGGCTTCCAAAGTGGTAAAACTCATTTTTACCAAGATCTTAAAAATTGCTCTAAAAATTCCTAAAAATTCTAAATAAATTCTAAAAATTCTATAATATTTCTATAATACTAATATCCATCTACTTCTATATTTTTTTACCTTGGAAATTTTTGATAATAATATAAATCAATTTAAATCCACTATAAATCCTATTTTTTTTTATACCAATAACTAAAATGACATGAAGTTCTTTCTCATGCTTCTTCTAACTACTAACATTTATAGTTTTTATAAGTAGTATATATAGATGGAAGACCAATATAAATTTTGGTCTTAATAAATAATTCTTATTATTCAACAATGAATAAAAATACTAAATCAATATAGATAATTGTCTCCAAGACTTACTAAGATTCTATTTCTACCACTAACATTCTACATTTCTATTTTTCTAAGGATTTCTACACTACTTACTATATATTATGTTTTAAAGCATTCTAAATGCATATTTTTATCCTAAAACAATAAGTGAAGCAATTTGATGACTTACAGGGTGGATGTCATGTTGTGGTTTGGCTACCATGTGAAAATAATGAGTTTATATATTTAATACATAATATACTAGACAACATGGTGAAAGCCATATTAGTGGATTTTTGTTGATTATAAGATGTGGATAGATTACTATTCCAAAAAGAGTTTGTTTAAAAGGGCTTTCATTAGAATTTATATAACTTTATTTTTTTTTTATAGTGACTTTTGAAGTTGATCTTATTAGTAGTAACTTTTAAATATTTAAAGTCATCTTTGTTAGATATGAATGACTCTTAAAGTCTTGTTTTGTTTCTTTTATATGGTATTTAGAGCATATATAATGTAAATCTTGTAAAAAAAAGAATTAGAGAGGGATTTTGATAGCAAAAAGAGAAGTTAGGGCATCCATATGGATGAATGGAGATAGATGATAAAAATCTCCATTCTTATTGGCTAAAAATCATGCCCAATGGACTTCAAAGAGGTTGTCTGAGGCCATATTAGGAATTAGGGTTATACTTTTGGACCATTTCAGCTTTTGGAGGCTAGGGTCAGTAAGTTTAGGTTTTTGGATATGGTTTTAATGCAAATTTTGTATAATTTGGAGTTTATATGAAAGAGATGTGGGCGCTCAAAATTAAGATTTTGATTTTGTACCTACTGTCACTCTTTTGGACATAACACACACATACAGAAAGCAATAAAGGATTGGCAATTGGGATTGGAGAGCTTACTTTTTCGGCTACATTTTTGGCATACTATTTGATAAATTCTAAGTTGTGATAAAGGAGATATTAGAGGTTGAAATCAGCGCTTACAAATCTAAGGGTAGTAAGTGACTTGATGTACTAGTGGTTGTGTTTTGAGCTATATCTTGAGCAATTTGAGAAGATTTAGGCTCAAAATTTCTAAGAATGTTTATAGTCATATTAGTAAACTTTGTGTATATATTTTGTGGCATTTGGATTTTGGATTTTGAGATGTGAGGAAAATAGTTTTTGGGTGCTTGTAGATTAGGATTTAGAGCACATACTGGGATTTATTAAGATGCCAAAAGATTGGTAATAGATTTATGGTTCATTTTTTTATCGTAAAGCTTAAAGATATAATCTATATTAAATAGAAATTTTAAAAAAACTGAAAAATTGAATCAAGAGATATGAATTTCTAAAATTTAGGATAAAAATATCCTTTGCAAGAAGAAAATATTTTAAAGGATTTTGTTATAATTTGAACTTTTGTACAAAATAAAGGAATTTTGGGAGATAAGACATCTTACATAAGCCAAAGCTAAACTCTCTACAACTAGGTACCTAGTGTATTCTCAAATTGCAAATCATGCCATATGACATTGTACCAGAAGCTACTAATACGTGTAATATGTGGCTAACTTTTTGGTCAAGTTTCTAATCTATTAATTAACTAAAAACATGTCTAAAGTCAAATCTGCATCTATAAAGCTTTTAAGAAGTTTTGCCATAAGATATTATTAAATTTATCTATATTTATTTCTTACCTAACATTTCTTATCTTGATAATTATGTATGTCTGAGATACTATCATGGAGGTCTTGTTTGCATTTTTGGCACCAAATGTATCATATAATTATCTATCAAAGAATGTATCACGAGGTGTTTTTAATATAAAACATGAATTGTCAACATTCTATAAGGAGTCATCAATAGATTAGTCATGTTCAAGATTTGGACACGGCATGGTATCATGTAAGATAAATTCTCATGTGGAATCTAGGCTATTCAATTCTATCTTTCATTTTAGTAGTGTATAGTTGTTCCAAGCAATTATCACATGCAAGCACATGAAAGAAGAGTGTTTTGTAGTCTCTAATATTAATTGGGACAAAGTGAGCATTACTTAGGTTGTTGAAGATGTATTCTTTAAGATCCAATGGGAAGGCCTTTAGCTATTAGTATCTATATAATAGCTAAAATATTCCACAAATTTCTAGATGCCATAACCGTCTAAAGTAATATTTGTGTTAGCCATGTGAGAGGCCTTATTGCTACAAGGTATAGTCAAAGTTAAGTTGATGCCCTTGTTTTTGGAGGATAAAGAGATATTTTTGTTTCATGGTATAGTTAAAAATATACTATAAGTTATTTTTCTTCATAATATTTTTTTATTACATTATTTATATTTATGCATGAATTTATAACATTTTTTATACATAAATTATAAAATAGATTAATCTATAAATTCTTGCATTATAAGTGCTATAAAGTTTGATACATTCTATGTATTTTTTTTTTGAAGAATTTTTAAAGAATTATCTCAAATTTTAGTTTACATATTTTTTAAAATAAAAATTCCATAATATTTTGTAAAAATTTAGAATTCAACTAATTTTATTATTTTTTATATATATTTTTAATTTTTAATCAAAAATCCATGCATAAGTATAATTAAGATATAGAATCAAATATTGAAGAATGTTGATTGATAGTGTATTCTATAATCATTTTAGAACACAAGAAGAAACTCAATGTTATGAAGGAGGATTTAGCTTGTATAAAAAAAATCCAAAAATTATTGCTTTATGTTGTTATAAGAAGAGATGGAACCTTAAAACAAGAAATTTAAATCAATAGAGCATAACCTTTTGGAAATGCAACTTTTCTTATAGTACAAATGATTGTGCTATTGGAATATTGTACAACATCATCTTATAAAGGCCATATATTATCTTTCTACTTGTTTTCTTTTATCTTTAATACAAGATTGTGTTGGATATAAAAGTCTTACAGTTTATACCTCTTTTTAAAAAATCTCAATGCCTCTAATTCTTTTCTTCATTTATTTAGTTTGTAACTTATGCGTTTGTAACATGAAAATGTACAAAAAGCAGGGGAAGAGAAAATGGGATGCAACATCAGATCCCAAAGCACAAAACTCCAAATACCCACAAAGGAGCAGCCAGAACACAGAATTGAGCAGCTGTCTGTTCTAAAATACTGGTAGGTATTAGACAACAGGAACAGGCAAAATAAGAAAAAATGTGAATGCCCCGGCAAGTAATGCATCGAAGAAAGGCTCTGATGATAAACAGATTCAAGGTCCAACATCTGTAGCTGCTCTAAGTATCTCCCCAAGTTGATGTGATGCGAAGAAATCCACAACAGAGGTGCTCGGCCTCACGGCCATGGTGCTGCCAGTGGCTTCGAGCACACCATCCTCTGGAGCCGCTAGAAAAACTAGCCCAACACTTAATCTTGCTTTGTTCTAGACTATCAATGCAACTCTTGGCTCATCCCACTTGTGGAAACACAGGTGATCTAATGTTCAGAGTGTACTTTGACGTCGAGATCCTCCCTGTTACTGCAAGGCTCACAACTTTGGTTGCTATGGTTCATGTAACCATTTCCAGCAATGAAAAACCCCCAGGAATCGAGCCATGGTCAAGAGTGGAAGTGTTCCGAGAAGATTAAGAAAGAATTACTGAATGATTTGAGGTTCGACGACTTCTATTTCTGAACTTTCTGAAGTTGCAACTCACCGATGCTGCATGTGACCCAGATCCCCTTCCTGACTCTCCCTCTCCTGGTCAATAAAGCTCAGATGGCGCCAGTCATGGTGTTAGCGGGCTGAAATTCTTCCTTCCAATGAGAGATGCAATAATGTGACCACAAGTGATCTATTAGCATTTCCCCCCGTCGAAATATTTGGCGGTGATTTCGTGCGTGCCGTATTATGTGAAGATTCCTCGACCTGCAACTGTAGGAGGGCAAGAGTGAACTGCAAGCGATAGAAGCATTTTTGTGGGTTATAACTTTGAATTTACTGGTCGCCGTAGTGGCATCACTATTTTCCACTGAAATTGATCAGTTTTAACTGAGGGCACATTCTTCCGTGATCATAGCGCAAGAATACAGAAACTGCAATAATGATACATTTTAGCCAGTAATGTCAGCTGCTTATGCGCATGTTGGCAGTTTTAGTAGGGTGTTTTCATTGTTTTGTAGAGGTGATAGAAGCATGCGATGATCGTTTTCAATCTCAGCATAATGTGAATTTCCTCTCCTAAACTTGACTTGCAATATTAGCAAATGTAATGTGTATCGTGGAAGTGAACTCTCCCCTCATCCTGGTTTGGTAACCGATATAGTTGAAACAACTCCAAGTTCTTGGTCTCTTGAACCATGACACCGTTATACCATGTACTTAGTGATTCTGCTGCAATAGAGGAACTACAGAAGCATTCGCCATCAACATTGCAACGACCCTTGCGGGATTTAGTTGCAAGTTTTGCAAAATTGAGAATCAGAGACGAAACAATATGACGTTGGAAAAATTGGTTAGGAATCGCCTTCGACATCCCAGGGGCGTCGCTTTCAAGGCATGAGGTTCAAAGTTGAAACTGTGACGTCCTGCGCCTGCAAACAAACCGATAAATGAGAGGAGGACTTGCAGGTTTAGATGAGGATGGGACGTTGATCCAAGGTTGCTGTGTGACACCGATCTCCACATGGACCGACACATTTCTAGTAACAGCACTACTGCAATAACTATCGACAGCTTTAAGTACATTCATGGCTGCTTTCACCCCGTGATCAAAATCCAGCGGTTACGTAGCTGGTTAAAGATGTGAGAAAATTTAACCCCAGCTGCGGTGAGTGGCCTTGTTCAGCTTTTCTCTGGCTTGCACCCCACATATGTCATGCGCACCGCCCAAAAGAGTGTCTCGATCGACGGGATTTGGCGCAGTAAAGATGATAGGGTTGTGCTCGTGTGTTGCATCAGACCCGTTTCTGGCTCTCGAGGACTGGACACGGATATGTGAAATCTGCAGCTCAGGTGCTGTTGCTCAATTCAGCTGGCGATAGTTTTGTGCACATTTTCTTTTGGGTGAATTGAATTGAGGAAATGGGAATCTAATATGATCGTCCTCACTGCGGATCTCGTCATGATCTGCATGAGTGGATTCGGGGGGGGGGGGGGGGGGGGATGTCGACGTTGAAATTTTACTGTGAGGAGTTGTGTGAATATCATCAACTAAAGAAGTGTAATACTGGAGAAAGTGGGCATGCGGCGTTTCAAGAGATTGAGAGCAAGATAACGATAACTACGCTTAGGATTCATCAAAAGTAAGGACCAAAACAATCGGGAGCCGTGCCTCGTGAACCTCAAATTCCCGAGATCCGTGAAGATGGCATAGTGAACCGGTGCTGACAGGGACAAAGAGAATGACCAGGGTTTGATTGTATCCCAAGGGTAATAAGGTGATGGAGACCTTGATGATTGGGCAGCGTCGCAGACCAAAGAAGACTCCCAAACCGATGGGACGAGTGATACAAACGACTTCCGGTTTGCACCCAACAGTTCTCTGGCTGATGAGGCTCAAAAGTGGGCATCTGACACCACTGTCTCTCGGGACGAAACACAGCCACATGTGCAGCCTCGTCAGAAGCAGACAGCAACTGTACAGACTAAACAAACATGTCAGTGACCAAAGCCCGAGCCAATGAGCTCCAACGGCGTCTTTATTGCAATACCACTGAGTTCCAACTTCATTGCAATACCAAAGACGCTGTCAACCCACAGGTCGACTCAACCAGTGAAGTACTTCCTGAGGCATTGCAAGCCAGGCTGGTCCATGAACAAAGCCCCGGGTGAGAGCTGAGGAGCGTTGCAAGCCCGAGGGCGGGAGCTACGGACAGGATGTGGAGGTTGCAGTCGCTGCTCACAGGCAAGTGATGGTTGAACTGGACTTCACAGCACTCCACTTCAGTGCAGGGACTCGGAGTCATCACTTTTGCCGATTCATGATGTGGGGGTCATCACATTCGCGCACAGATGGCTCTGGTGCTGGAATCCATCTCAGTTTCCTGCACCGACTAGGTCTGTGGTGCGGGACAAATGGCAGCACTGAGGTGAGGTGAGGTAAATTGAGGTGGGCAGGCATTGGTTTGGAGTTGTGTCACTGCTTGATATGTTGCGTGCTTGACCCTTGTCGCTCTTTTTGTGAAACGTGATTTCATGTCCAGAATGGTTGTGGTGACGGAGTCTAGATTCGTGTGCCGCGGACACCGTGGCGTTGTTGTCTTTTGCTGCAGCATTTCCTGTGCAAAGCGACAGCCAGTGTGAGTGCATTGCGAAGCGCGAGATGACGTGAGATGAAGACGAGAACATGCGAGCCGAGTGTGTGGCGGCGCTGTAACCACACCTTGAATGTGCAGATGCGAGACTCTGAGGTGGAGTTTGTGAGCATGTGTGTCAAAGGTGGGGTTGCAATGGCAGTGATGAGCTGTTCGGACTTGCTTGTCCATGCCCAGTGTGCTGTGGTATGTTTTTGTCCTGAGTGAAGCAGGCAAGCGTGTGTGAAGACGTGATGTCATGTTGGGCAGAAGGAGGAAGGATTTTAGTTCCACGACGTGAGTGTCGTGGCTAATGAGAATGTTGGAGAGGCAGAGCAACCTAGGTATCCAGCCGGTTCAGCGAATGCACCCGTTTCACGGATGTAAGCGTCGATGTGAGTGGTGGCGTGAAGAACAGTTGACCCACAGGGATTGGAGATGGATGTTTGGGCGAGTATGTTGTATTGTCCTGGAGGACGGTCTAATGTTTCTTCGGAGACATCTGATAAAATTGGAACGATACAGAGAAGATTAGTATGGCCCCTGCGCAAGGATGACACGCACAATTCGAGTAATGGTCCTAATTTTTTTTTTTCCTTTTCTCTGACCTTTCGCTGTTTCTTTCTTTCATCGCTTGCCACTTCAGCCGCCTGGGTTTTCTTCTGATAACGGCTGCTGTTCACAAACGTTGTTCTCCACTCCAGCACTTATGTGAGGGTAGTTCAATGTTCGTTGAACACCAACAGATCTAACACCGACCTCTTCCAATTGTACAATGTTGTCCAAGCCATGAGTTAGTTTCTCCTCGTTAATACATGCTTATCAACATTGCTTTGCATTTTTTACAATGTTGCCCATTTGTGCACATCTTTGCCCACATTGTTCTTTTGTGTATAAATGTTTGAGTCAATGCATCCACAAGCTATTTATGTCACATTTGAAGAAAGAAGTTTCATGACTTAATGTGGTAGAAGTTCATACAAACACAAAGAGGAGACCAAGAATCATAAGATAAAAGATTAAAAGAAAAAAAGTAGTACAAAAAGAACAATATTAGAAATAGAAGTTGCTTTTGGATTGTTCCACCACTCACTTCTATTCATAAGACTTAAATATTTGTTGTTGTTGTTGTTGTTGTTGTTGTGTTTTCTTGTTGTTATTATTTTTTTATTATTTTTTTACATTGTGAAAATTAAGTTCTTTAGAAATTTATAGAAGAATTTTTAAGAGTAATAAAACATACCAATTTTTTTAAAAAAAAATATTGACTTTTAATAAATTCTTATAAAATTCTTCAAATAATTTTCAAATTTTGTGTTAATTAAAATATTTTTCTTAGACATAAACAAATTATTTCACTTAATAAATCTATATAACATATTGGTATGAGTATGCTCAATCTTAGTATGAATGTTATATTTTGATTTATACAAATTTAATATTTTACAATCATAATTAAGCATTCTAACTTAAATTATACTTAGAAATATTTTTTAGTAAATTATAGGTAATAAGTAGTACTAATGCCAAACACTAAAAAATAATATTATAATAATATGATAACCACAATCTTTCTTCATAATATTGAGTCTTTTTTTGCTCAATAATAAGTTTAAAACACACTACGTCAATTTCTATATCTTCTATTTTTTTAATATATGTGTTAAAAAGACATTCATGTTGCCATTTAATTATAAATACATTAAAGTCTATTTGTCTGATTCTAAGATCAATATTCAAAAAACCAATTTTTGCACTTCACAACAAAGACAATTTCTTAATTCAATGTTAGAAGATCAAATAAGTTCAGCATCAATTTCTTTATTTTATATTGTAATTTGTAGAAAAATTGATTGATAAACTCAACATCATTCTACTCAATATTAATTGCAAATTGTTGAAATTGTGAAGCATATAATCTTATTGATCAATTGTCTTAATATAAAATACAAATTTTATTGATTATAATACAAATTGCATCATATTTTCCATACATAGATTAAAAGTTTGCCAAAAAAGCCTTCACATTATCCAATATTGGATTACTTGTTCAAAAATAGATAAAAACCATGATAAAGCTTAATTTAAAATTATGTTTCAATAAAAACAATTTGTGATCTTGGAGTTAGATAATTTTGATGTTGAAGCTCAATTATTAGCTATACTTGATTAATGAATCCTTAAAATTTTGATCTTATACTAAAAAACTTCTCAAGCAAGGCAATTTTTGATTCTCTAACACATGAACAAAGTTCCAAGATAGGAGAAGTAACATAATATGGTGTAGATGTTGAAGTAGCTCCAATTATTTATATATCTTCACTTCCAATCAATCTTCCAATGTTTTTGGTGGTATATTGAGTTGATGCCTTCCAAGTATTAGCTTTATTCTTTGCTTTTGCATGTGTTTCATTACACTCTTCATTTCAATAACCTTTGCCATGATGATACAATAAAAATAAAAATAAAAATAAATATCTGATATCACTAAAGATAATTTTAAAAGTTGAATTATTTTGTTGATGCAAATGTTTTAGCTAAGTATAAAAGTATCTATATTTGTTTGTACTTGCCTTATTTATTTATTTTTTTATTTATTTAATTTTTTTTCTTCAAAATAATACAATCTCAAAAGATGGAAATTTTCACATATTATGTTAATGTATTTTAATTGAGCTGAAAGAAAAACAAATAGTTTTTTTAGTGAATAACATGATAAGATTATGACACCTTCAATTTTAGAACATAAATTTTTTTTTTTTTTTTTTTTTTTTTTTTTTCTAATATTCTCAAAGTCATCAACTCTAAAATCTCCAAGTTAAGTCATTTTGCAAAACATTTATTATCCAAATACAAAAGAAATCACATTATTTAGTTCTTATTACATAGCATATTCATATGTTATATGTGGACCAAATGTAATGTAAAGCCCTTTGAAGACATTATATAAAATAATATCCAAGTAAGAGAGCTAATTTGAATAGGACTGCAAGTATATGAAAAGCAAGTATAGATAACAATCATGGTTATAATGAAAAAACTATGTAAACATTTGTATTGATTTTTTGTATAATAAGAGTAAGATCAAGATGAGTAGGAAAATTCTATAGAAATAAGACCAGAACACAATTAGATAGATTTAAAGGATTTTGTTAAATGAGATCATAAGACACAATTGCTTCATTCTTAAGATTATAGATAGTAAGTCATTTTTTTGTACTCTAGATTGTTATAAACTTTGTCCATTTAGGAACTTAAGATGTTTATTTCAACTACTACTCTAAGATGATTGATCCATTCCAAACATGTCAATTGATTTGTATATAAATATATATTTATTTATTCTCAAAAAGGTAGTTAGCCCTTTTTTTAAAAAAATTATATTAATTTATTAGATGATTGAACATGTTTTTAGTTCATATAAGAAGAAAACTTTTAAATGCTTTAAAATATTTTTGTTCTATTTCTAGAGTTTTGTCATTACTATAAATTACAAATATTTTTTTATTATTGTCCTTCCAAATTTTAACATTTTGATATTATTAATTATCTTTTTTTATATTTAATATTTCATTTTTTATTTAAAAAAATCATAAGTTTCTTTAGAATTGATTTGTATTATGAAAACAACACTTTCTTTTTAGAAAGAAAAAAAATCAAAATCAAAAGTAATAACAATAACAAGAATTATGTTTTTTGGGGTGTATTCAAAAAAAAACTTTAACATGATACTTTCCATCTTGTGAACTACTGCTCAAACTACCATATTCTTCGGAAAAAAGTTGAGGGTTCTTCACATCCATGAAACTAAGTTCATCCCAAGTTTGTTTTCGCAGTCCCAACTTCGCCCGCTTGAACCCTACAGAGTTCATTCAAAAGACTATTCAGGCAAAAACACGAACTTTCAACAGCATCCTTATGTACACGAATCCCTTGAACGTTGTTGGATTACTGTTAGAATTTCTACAAAATTAAGCTAGGCAAAATTTAGCTAAAAACTGAAACCTTCAACGAAGGCTATGTCGACAAATTTTGCGAGAATTTCGTTAGAGCAGCAGCTGATGACATATCAAGCTAGTGGAATAGAATACCAGGGAAAATCAACTAGAACGATGTCACTATGTTCGGACTACAATAATCACCAAGCTTTCAGGTGGTGCATGTCATCGACGAACTTTGCCTCTGTGCACTGATACGCAACCCAGCATGTGGACGGCAGATATACAGACCCAGCTTCACATTCCAAATTGGACAATAAACCACCTTTTCTCAACTCCCACAGCTCTTCCTGTACACTATGTTATATTCCTGGCAACCCACTTCCAAGTTGATATTTTACAAGCTTCGATGGGAGCTCAGAATCATCATCTCTCAATATCGCCTCGTTCTCCAACAATCTCCTCATAAAAAGTGGGAGCCCGCTTTCTACTAATTAGTGTGCACTGATGTCTAAATGTCTGTGTGGAAGGGGTGAAAGGTGCCTGCTTCGCCATTAGCGACAAGTGTTGTTCCTTATCAATGCCTGTTATCAAGCCATGGGCCTTGCACAACTCTTCAGTATCGCCCTGCTTCATCAGTATGAGTCCAGCAATATCTGCCACCGGATAGGGGTGCATTTTGTAACTACCACAATTTATGGCTCTCAATGCCAAGGTACGCATCTGACCAAAATACAGCTCCATTAAGCAGCCTTGAAGATAGGTAGCTTTCTGTGCCAAATCGAAGAAACCTTTGTAATTATCGCTCCTGTAACACCTGAAAAATTCAACAGTTTTGATCCATTATAATTCCGCATCAAGAAGGATGCCAATGCAACAAGTACCAATACCAGTACATAAAAGGCCCAGCGCAACACCAGTACACCCTTATTAATCATCTGGCGCAAGCAAACACCAGAGCGACGCGACGTTCTCTTCAGGTACATCAACGTTGAATCGTAAGGCGAGATGTCTACTCACCTCAACACATTTCGAGCATACACGAAGTCGGGAGCCTGCAGGACCGATGATCGCACTTTGCGGAACCATAACGACAACGGCTCGGCCTGCAAGAAATTCCCAAGTCAGGTCTAACACATGCTATGAGTCATCCACAAATCCATGACAGATGTAATGCTTCTTCACGAGCAAACTCCATCACTAAAAACAAAAGCGAGCATACTTCAACCGAATCCCAACATCCGTGGGCCATTTCTAGAAACTGGGTCAAAACACCAACCTTGAAATTATCTCGGTCCCCCAAATTCAGCAACACGTAGTAACCATAAAACTCAGCTTCATGCAACCACCCAGAGCCACCCTCAGCATCGACGGCACCATAAAGGTTAAGGAGTGTGAGAAGAGATTTAGAGAGCTGCTGAAAATTCAATTGCGAGTTTGCTTCATTTCCAGTAGCTACTTTTTTCTCCCTCAGCTCCCTTTCAGACATAATGTGAAACCTGACCTGCATAGAGACGATCGAGTAAGAGATAGGCCAACATCTTCACAAAATAAATGTTTCCTGATGGACAGAATGAGTGATCACATGACAGCCTCGAGAAAGAAGGGAATATTGAAAAAAATTCAAACATCAAATAGTAGCTGTGCATTGTACACATCACCAACTTACAATTTCTTCGAACATAGTAATGGCCTGGCTGTTGGCAATGCATTGCATCCCTAATTCTTGACGCACTGCACGAGTCCGATCAAAAAGAAAGGCGTGAACAGATTCAAAATTGTAGTCACGTCGGTCCAACATATGCAACAGGTACTGTAACGTACCCCACAGCACATGCTGCGGTCGTACATCTGAAGGATGCAATTCGGCAACAGAAATAGTCCTGCAAAACTGTAACCAAGCTATGATACGTTACATACGAAGCTTGACAACGCCAACAAAAGTACCAGATGAAAATTTCATGTTCCGGCAGTTAAGATTCCGAAGACGTCCAAACTGCAACTTTGAAAGTGTGGTATGAATACCTTCTTGACAGCAAGATCTGCTGATGTTTTGGCCGTATTACCATTGATACGCTCAAAGATAGCGAGATCCCTGAGCCTTTGACGCTGCTCCCGCTCACGAACTGTCATTCCAACAAACACGACAGACACAAATCAGAACAAAGGACTGTGATCTTTAGGAGAAACATCACAAACAACTGAGAAATCACCAGATAGGTAACGTGTCAGCCACATTCATATTCGTCATCCAGGATCATCCTATACGCAAGCCAACTTATATCGTAAAAACTAGCAAGAATTACTGGGTAAAAGTCTGACCTGGGCACATGTCTTGGCAAGTACCAACAATTGACGTCGTCAAGTTACCCTCGCTTTCAACACCAACATCAGCATAAGCAGCAAGAGCACGTGCAGGCGCGGCACCCCTTTCCCTGCTATTTTCCCTGCTCGAACGCCATTCACGACTTATATCTGGACTTGATCGCGTGCCAGTTGAATAGGGTCGTCTTCCAGCCGCTTCAGCCTGCACCAACTCTGCAACCAGAAGCAACATTTAGGAGGCTTCATGCCATGGTCCTTGTATTTACTACCACTCTCTGATGCTCCAGACCCCTAAACTTGACTCAGACATCAGCATTCAATGTGACCCGCTCTCCTTGCCCCTCTGTGTAAGGGCAAGGACAGATGAAGAAACGAAACGTGCAAAATCTCTTCCGAATTTCCAGTGACTTGCTCTAAAATTTTCTCAGCATAATTGGAGATCATACACCAACTGCAGCACTGCACTAAGTCTCTGCACAAAGTGTCATCCACGTAAGAAGTCACTTCTCCAGTGCAACTGAAAAGTCGTAAAATATTAATTGCAAAGTGCAAAGTTATCAGTAAAGTTAAATGGAATCCTGTTTGGTTACATTCTTTACAGCCTCAGCGTTCATTTTGAAAGTTTCTAGTGGATCGAGCAGGAATTCGATCTGCCCATCTATATCTTTTACGGTCAGCCTTTGTACCTCAGAAGCGAAGAAACCCCGAAAACTTCCACACAAAAAACGACCTGCAGACCCTTTGAAGAAACATTCTGGTAGCACAAATCTATCACTTTACCATATCGCAGAATTAAGACACGTGAAATCATCCTCGCCTCTACAAATCTTGCCGCTACTTTGAGCATCAGTGAAGGTCATCAAATAGGGGAAAAAAATGATGCAAAACCTGTGGGCAAGCAATTTATAACATTTGAGAGATTTCCAACCTGGAGTGCGAGGTCGAGGGTGATTGCGGCCTCCAACCTCGGCCGACCGGCTCTGGTCACGCCATGATGGAGCAGGTGCAACAGGTCCTCGCTGCCAATTAGTGGGTCGGTTGTTCCGCATGCGATGTGCATTCTGCTGCTGGGGTTTTCGAACATCCACATGCCCCCGCCGATCAAAAGTATCAAACCCGCCATTCCCACGGCTATTATGACTGTAGCCGTTGTGCCCAGGCCCATGGTTGCCGTAACCATGACCGCCATAGCCGCCGTTGCCGTAGTTGTTGTTCCCGTATCCACTATTCCCGTAAGCGTTATTCCCATAGCCATGAATTCCATAACCAGAGTTGCCATAACCAGCGTTTCCATAGCCGTTGCCACCACATCCGTTATTCCCATAGCCGTTGTTACCGTAACTATTATTCTGCCTGGGTATCTCCCTGTTCGGGAATGAGCCCATGTCTGCCATGACTATAACCTGCGCCTCAGTGGGCCGCAATGAGCTGCAGAGCGTCACTCCAATATCATCCACTCTCCTCTTTCACTCACCCCTCCATCGCCTCCACACACATACACGAAGAGAAGGAAGGCCAAACCCGACCGCAACAGAGCAAAGCAGCACCAACCAGGGTTGCAAATTCACCTAGAACAACCCACAATTCATCCACCACGCTCTCCCTCTCGCTCTCTCGCTCGCTCGCTTGCAGAGACTACTCCACGCCCATCGAAGTCCTCTTTCTCGCACCCGATTCCACCACCGCCATCACGTTCTCCAGCGCCGGCGCCCCATCCGAGGCGTCCCTCGAAGACAAGCCCAGCCAGAATACAGACTGGGTAACGAAGTGTGTGAGAAGAGGAGACGCAACTAAGTTAAAGCTGGCGATGATGCTCCGAGGAGGGCATCCTTTGACCCCTGCGACACACAGAAAAGAGGGGAAAAAAGCAGAAAAAACGGCTGGGGAATTGGGAGCAAGCAACGAGGCGAGTGAGTGAGAGAGCTCCCACCCCCGCACCCCCGCGCCTCAGATGCCCCTCCCACTTGCGGACCGGTCACCGTGCCGTGTCAGTGTGAATGGGGTCTCGCAGGGGCTGCTCCAGGTGTCCGAGTCAAACCCATTCCCCAGTCCACTTTCTCTCTTTCTCTCTCTGTTCGTTATGTTAATGAACACCATTCACAATTTTGATGAACGTTGTGTGGGGTACATCCTCATCCGTTTGACGCGAGTCAAACTACGTCCTATATATTCTGGTCGTGACATGAATTCTATATTTCAATAGAGTAAGAGATGAGTATTTTGTGGTACTTATTGGGTGTAGACACAAATTTGTACTCAAACAAGTTAAGAATCCATCTCGGTGTTTTAAACTTATTATAAAAATAATGATTATTAAAATTTATTATTTCAAAATTTTATTTTAAAAATAATAAGCAGAATTTCGAGCATTTGTTTTTTTGGAAATTTTAGAATAATATTTTGAAATTATATTACATTCTTATTCTTCTCTAAAACCATGTTAATATATTTCATGTAATAAAATATTTATCAAATATCTGTAGTTAGTAGTAAGATTTTTTTAAGTATTCAAAACTCCTGTCTTGAACTCATCTATTAAAATTCTTCATATTCATGTTAAATAAAATAAGACGAAAAACAAGTTAAATAGATAAATTTGTTAATGTTAAAATCATAATGGATTACATATTTATGCAAGTGAGCCAATGGTTTTTAAGCAAGACAAGTGATGAAAGAAAACTTGAAATGTAGAGCCAATTAAAAGTATTTGTTATGTTTTTATCATAGAAATTTCGTGGTAAAATTATTTCAATTACTTTAAATGTAGTTTTTTTATACCAATTCACTACAATTTTTTTAATTATTTTACGTAAATTAAAAATCATTAATTGTAACTATTTTATAGCATATGACTTGAATCAACTAAATAATTGTATTTATCATACACTTGTATATACGTATAAAATTAAATAGAATTACACAAAAAAATCAAAATTGATTCACGTTAGAATACATTTGATTTTGATAATTTTAGATGTATAAATTGAAATAATTTATTATAATACATGTAGTACACATACATATAGATATTTTTTTTTTTTTTTTTTTTTTTTTTTTTTGTATTTTATTGTTTTAAGTTGCATCCAACATCCAGTGGCTGGGTCACATTAGTAGTGATCAAGTAGGTCATACCAAAAATACGCACCTGGTCCATTGCACATCCAATAGACTTACATGGGATGTCCTACTCATCCTTATCACCTTCTTCAATTCACAAGATATTTCAATTTTAATATTTTTCTCTTAAAACAACCCATATTCGTAACACGGCCATGATTTTACTGAAGTTCCAACCCAGAAAATAAAAGCGAAGAGAAGAAAAGTAAAAGGTTTCGGCCGTGGATCATGATGCACGTCGGTTGAGGCGCCCGTGCATTCAAGCGCGGTGTCGTTTTCCGATGTCGGTGATGAGAAGAATCTGCCGACGGGGTCGGAGCCAGAACCACTCGCAAGAATCGATGCGATTCTCATCGCTGGACCGCCCTTCAGAAGACCCATCCACCGATTTTGCTACTTCTTCTTTAATCTCTTCCTTCAGTGAGGAACATGGGTTTTGCGCTTCATTCGGCGAACTCGACCCGGATCGATCGTGAGGTTCACGTTCCTTTGGAACCGGGATCGCATCTCGCTGACAAAATGTGCGTTATGTTGTCACATTTCCCACACGGATCGGACAGATCCGGCTCACCGCTGAGCTAGATCAGGGACTGAGCCTCGAGATCTTCAACGCAAACGAAGCTGGTGGAGGAGGAGCTTACGAAGGGCTCAACGCGAGGTGCATCGGAATCAACTGTGAGCAGATCGTTAGATCGTGTTTGTAGTCGGGACTTGTAGAGAGGAGTCGTGCCGATTGTCGTCGGCGGATCAGTGATGGGCATGTGGTGGCAGCACGTCATAAAGGTGCTACGATTGACTTGCGAGTCGTTCGATGGCGAGGTTCTTTTTCAATTCCTTGGTCTTGATTCCGATGCTTCCGGTATCACTTCATGTTCTTCCTGCTGTTCTTGAAAGCTCTGACCGCCTGCCTCAGAAAAAAGTAGAAATTGTTTAGAAAATGTTGCGCACTTCTCGAGTATACACAATTCAGCTGGATGTTTTGGCGGATTTCTTGTGCAACTCATGTACTGACGTCCTTGCTGTCGCTCGCCTACGGAGTTGTGCATTTGATATAACTGCATCTGCTACATGTGAACAGAGCTGCTTGCATTACGAAAACATGGTTACATGACTGAGGTGCCCTGCCATTGGGTTGCATGTTGAGTCAACTCGAACAAAAGATATCGCAGTATAAACACAGCGCTAATTATTCGAGTTGTAGTTCCTTGAGAGTAGCGTGTTTAAGAAATGATCCTTGACCGAGAATTTTTATTTTTTATTTTTGTACAGGTTTCCTGTTGAAATCCTGGGAAAGATTGTCATACTTTTGAAAGACTGCGGACAAGCTGACCATTCAACCGTAGAAGATGATGGCAAACAAGTACACGATCGTCACATCGTTCAAAATTTGAAGCTCAAAGAACAAGTATGCAAGTTAACAATGAAAAAAGAGAAGAAAAATGAATTTCACCACCAATGCACATGAATAAGCATATCAAGAACTAATCACTGAGATCCTCAACCAGGGCTACAATCACATAAAGTGCAATGTACTAAAATATGTGACTGGAATTCAGCAGAAGATATGATATCCCAACCCAGTTCTAGAGCCTACAGAAGTATACCCGGGCGCAATTTACAAGTCTTCGATTAAGTACAATGACAAAGAAATCTTGCCCAAACTTGATGTAAGAATTAGCTTATCCTATGTAGTATTTACAAACCTCTAGCTGCGTTAAACCCGTTATTCCAGGATGTAGGCTGGAGTCGTCTAAACTTACTTTAAAGACCTGAGACAAATTGAGCACACCGATCACCACCGACACCTTCAGACTGCCAAGCAGTTGACTCAGCAAGTTTCCTCTAATTAAATTTTTGGCTTGTCGTCAGGCCGCTTGGTTTCGAAGAGATTAACTACCGCATCCATGGTGAACGCTGCTACCAGTCGCTACCTTGTAAGATCCAAGGGTAGCTACATTACTGATTCACCTTACAGGAGAGGAAGCCATCGTTCCGCCGAGTTGCTTTCCCATCTTCCTTCTGAGTGGATTAACTCAAAATCTTAATTCAATGCAAACCAGATACACGGCCACCATCGAGTATACTTGGCTTGGCGATCCAATTTCAATTCTGGAAAAAAAATGTTTGTATTACTTAACAGAGACTAGAGAAATCTTTCAAGCTCCTCAGCACGCAAGCCAGAATTCGTCAACCTTCCGTCATTACGTCTTGGCCATAATTACGTGGCGGGTCTGAGCACTGGCAGCGCACTGATGCTGGCGAGCAGTTATGTTATCATAATATCGACGAAGCCGATGCCTGTCAATGTCGGAGAGTAGTAGAGGAGGCTGAATTGGTAGTGATACAGCCTCGACTACAAGAAAGTATAGCAGGGAAGCAGCCTTCTCATAAGCAGAGGAGGCGTTCGCCATACTCCCCATGAGCTCATCCACCTAACGCACAAGACAGTTCATCACAACACTTAATTACTTCGCACTTACACACTGAGGCCCTGTAATCGAGAAATGGTGGATTGAAGTATCAAGCCACATCACAGCTGGAATGACATGGTGAAATACCGTAAATGTTCCAAAAGTGAGCTGCTTAAGAAAACCCTCAAGCAGAAGCAAGACCTACCTCTTAACTCAACACCTCCTACACATTTCACACAACATCTGTATTTCTTGCAAAGCATAACAACAATCTTCATGACACCTTCCCACATGAACTGGAAAATCCATCTAAAGATCATGCAAAATCATGGATGATTTCATAGGAGCATGAGATTGCTCCTATACTCCAGTTTAATAGATTCTCCCAAAAAAGATGATCTGAAGTTGAGAGAGGTTATTTAAAGTACCGCTCCAGCTTTGCCGAGTTCAAGGGCTGATTGGAATATAAGCTCCATAGCATCTGGCATCTCTGCAGAAGCTGCAATTCGTTGATCAACTCCAACGATTATAATTCAAACATAAGGAGAATCAATTCCGCTAAAAGATACACATTTTCCAGACCAGCTCTAACTAATTAATCCAGAAGAGATAATCCTACGAAGAACAAATGCTTTTGAAACATGTCAGATGCCAACTGTTATCATTCCCTCAGTGAAAATCTCAATTTAAAAAAAAAAAAAAAAAAAAAAAACAAGGGACGCTCATTTACCATCAGCAATATCTATGTGTATTGCTAAGGATTCAGCTCGCTCAACAGCAAAAGCAAACTCCCGTTCCATTAAAGAACAAGTATTTGCCACAGATCTTTCCTGGCTTTCAATATCCTCTGAACCACCCCTTCCTCCATTACTGCCAACGTGTTCAGAATCAGCCCAGGTTTGACAGACATGAAGTGCTTCCTTCCAGATTGCTAGGCACACAAGCTGAATTACAAATGCCTCTAATCCCAGCTCTTTATTCATCTGCAGATAACACCCACATGGTAAAGTCATTACAGCCATCCAGTATGTATAACGTCCTCGAAGCAGGAACCCAAAGTAAACGAAAGTGTATATTAAGGGAAAGGAAGTAGGACATCCGGATAGATAAAAGGTGCATAGTAAGGGCGAGATAAATAATAATTAGCTTCAGATGGTACCAAAAAGAAAATGATTAGAACACAATGTTGAGACATCAATCCATTTACATACTAACTCTGCTCACGAGAAAGAAGAGATGCATTGACGAAGAATAAGGTAAAAGAAAAGATATGCGAGAAACCACAGGTACACCTCTCATCATCACAACTCAATTTCAATTGTGGGAGAAAATAACAAAGCCCTTTTCTGAAGCCCCTCAAAAAGCAGACTAAAAGTATCATCACATGCAATTATACCTATACAGAAAACCAACCTTGTCTGTGGCGAGTTCTGTAATGAATCGTGCACATCTCTGTAAAGAGGAAAGTCGAGTAGGTGGATGCTGCGAAGGACCTTCAGCTTCTTGTGAGCTATGTGATGGAACTGAACAGTTACTGGCACCACTACCAACTCCTCCAGAACTTGTGCCCACGTATGGACTATTTACTTTCTGAGGGAAACTATCAATTCTTCTTCTTTGCTGGACTCCGCCAGCATCATTAGCGTTTGATGAATTCGAAAGATTTTCAGTCGATGTTATTGGAACTGACACGAGAACATACTCACGTTCAATTGTATCAATGGAATCTCCCAATGCACCTGCAAACCATACAACACAAGGGGAATGAATGAGCTAAGACGAATAATGAAAGGCCAAGGTCCCAGGTGTAAACAGTAGCAATTGGATACCAAGAGCTCCAAGATCTCGGGGATTCCAAAGTCATAATATAAGTCCGAAAAAAAGAAAGAAAAATCGAAAACCAAACAACAAAATTACAAATAAATGCGGTACGTAAAAGGCCCTTTGCGTAATGCAAGGGAGAATATAAACACCTTTCAGTTTCCCACATGGAGATTTCTGATAAGCACGAGCAATCACGGGAGATGCAACTGTACGGCCTCCTAGATTCAATAAAAAAAGGTAAAAAAGAGTGGGATATTTAGGTGAAAGATTAAAACATTAAAAGGAGGAGAAGGAGTAAAAGACGAACTAGATTACGCATTTAACAAATACCCATTAATGGATCACAAAAAACAAGGACTTCGTTGTCACGCGTTCGTCATTTGATGTTCATAGACCAACCAAAATACATAGCTCCTGTAAAACTCCATCAAAGCCAGCTTCTACAACCCAGAAACAAATGTCTATAATAGTGATACAATTTGGCCGTGGTCTTCTAACAAACCCACGATTAGGCTGTCACGGGCTTTGAGAGAGAGAGAGAGAGAGAGAGAGCGACAAAGAGAAGAGAGATAGGGAGGAGTACAGTGTAAATAACTTCCAGGCACAGAACAGCTCCAAAGAAAGCTACATGTCTACCTTTTGTGGGAGAACCAGAATGGGCAGGATGAAAATCACCATCCAAACCTGCACTTCCTTCAGCAACTCCATCAAGAATCCTAGACCTGTTGTCGGGATGATCAGGTGCAGTAAAGCCCATTCCAGCTGGAGACAAATGCCCTGAATTCGGTTTCCTTCCAGTAGGAGGAAGATACGGGCTGCTGGGTGGTGATTCCGAAAACAAAGGCGGCTTTAACGAAGCGAATTTCCCATGTGCAGAGTCTTGTTGATCATCATCCAGCGTAAATGGAAAGCAATCTTCTTGAGAAGTTTCACTTGCGTCACCAGTACCTCCAGAAGTGCTCCCCCCTGTTTGCATGTCGTCTGCCTTGGATCTAGAGACATGAATGATATCTCGTGTCACGTGAATAATCATGATAAAAATTCAAGCCAGCACCGGGCATGTGTAATGTGTCTACAGTCCAAGGAGGCATAAATATAAAACACAAAGGAGGGGGAGAAGGAAAGAAAGCGAGAGAGGATTACCTCATTGCTCCCATGAAGGGGTGTGCAAAGAATTCCTCAAAAGCCAACCGTTCAACTGCTCAACAAAGGAAAATATCTCACAAGCATCAGCGACACTACCTGAGCTACTACATAGTCAAAAATCATGACTTAGACGAAGCCGGTGCAACAAAGAAAAACTTTGCCTCTTTGAAGGCTTAGAGCTTCTCTTATTCAGCATAAAATTTCATAAAACTGTGTACCACGGAGATGTAAATTGAACTGGAGTCCAGTGTGTAACATAAGGATGCGACAAAATCCGACCACACCATAAAGTGGAGAACGCAACACACCTGGGTCCTTGCGCAGCAATTTACGGCACATGTCTATGCAATCTGGGTGTAACTGAGCCATGATTGCATCTGGAAAGCGGATTTCTGTAGACTTGAGGATATTTTGAAGCAGCTGATAGACAGCGTTAAAGAACACATGCAGTAATTAGACATTTTTTTGTCGGAAAATGCACAACTTGTTTCCAAAGAGAGAATACGAACGTAAAGCCAGTTGCAAAGAATAGCACCTCTTTTCAGTAAAAACATAACTAGCAATGACGTAGCATTACCTGAACATGGTTGTTTCCAGAGAAAGGAGGTCGACCAGTGAACAACTGGTAGAGAATAGCACCCACACTCCACAGATCTGCCTGCAAAGATCCCAAATCCAAGACAAACTCGAATCAATAACAAAGAACAAACACCACAAATAGCAACTCAGAAGTGCAGGACACAATCACAATAACTCTATTTGCATCATAAATGTGCACTTAACCGACATGGGGCAGAAGATAATCAAATATTTCTCTACAAATACTTGAAATGCACAGATGTATTGGGCTTGCTTGGGCCAAATAAATATTTTGAACACTCCCACGAACTACTTTTTGATTCCAACTCAAGGTGAATCTTCAAAAATCATTGATTTTCCTCTAACCCAACTGACTTCATATGCCACCACCGTTGCAATCGCAATCGCATACCAAATCCAAACGCAATCCTTGCAACTTGATCTCCAGGATAATCAAGACAAGAGGTGTAACTGAACACCATTTAATTCAGGAATGCAGTGCTCAAGAGGATTGTTGGACAAAAAGCATGAAGATATTGGTCGAGAGTCCTAAACTGTGAGAAAAGCACATCTACCTTAGCGTCATATCTCTTTGACTGGAGAATCTCTGGAGCCATGTACAGAGGTGATCCACATAGGGTCTCCGCCATGCCCTGAGGCATAAGCGATCTAGCGAATCCAAAGTCCGCAATCTTCAATACTGCAAGATCATCGTTCGTGGATAACAGCAGATTCTGCAAAGGAATGAGAGAAGAATGTTAAACAGGAAGGATCAGCCTAACAAATTTCAACTTCAGACAGGACGCTCAGCAGAGAGAACTTCACGCACAGTTGAAACTACCACAAAGAAATATCCCAAAAAATTTGTGCGAGAAAAGCAAAGTATACATTACAATTCCGCCCTGACAAACCAATATGACAGCAGAAAAAGCAAAGTATGAAATAGTGTCATTCCAACCTGCGGCTTGAGATCCCGATGTATCAAATTATTATTCCGTAGCACCTGCAGCCCAGCTCCTGGAATGCCGACAATTGTCCACCCCACACACAAGATAATCAAGGATTTTAACTTCTATCCTAACACGTGATATAGACCCACCCCAAATGTGTTCCAATTCATCCACCCTAACAATTTTACAATCCTAAGAAATATTACGTACCCAGCTGCCGCATGAAGTGGCGTGCGACCACTTCGTCAACCTTGCCATACCGCTGGATGTAAGCGGCTAAATCACCACCTGCGCAGTACTCCAACACAAGATATATCCTATTCTGCCCCTGCACCCACTCCCCAACGACCACATCAACAAAACCGCCCATAGCAAAACCAAAACCCTGCTGCCCAGTTTCACCCAAGTCCGCCTACTCACCGAATTAGGGTTACCCCACGAATTAATTTACACTCTCCAACAAGTATGTAAAAGGGGAATTTAAAAAAAAAAAAAAAAAAAAAAAAAAAAAAAAAAAAACTCCTGAAATCCAGACCAACCTCGACAATATCGTGTAAGCGGATGATATTGGGGTGATCAGTCCTCCGCAGAATGGCAATTTCGCTCCTCAGACTCTCCTGCAACTTTTTGTTCAACTTCTCAGTCGCGATCTCTTTGATTGCCACCTGAAAAGCCGAGTGCTGCTTGTGATGCGCCTTCCACACCACCGCAAAACTACCCGATCCTATCTGCTGCGTCACAATGTAATCTCCGATCACCCTCTGCCCGCCCCCTCCAAACCCACCCCCCAAATAATGATTCCCCCCTGGCAGTCGCCCCGCCATCGCCAACTCCTCTCCCAAGTGACAGATAATTCACGGTAAAATTGCGGCAAAATCTCGCCGAGTCGAGGGCTGGCTACATAACGCAACACACCAACTGCACACACGCAAAAGACAAAAGCTAAGCTACGGCAGGGGCGTGGAAATGACAACGCCCATTCAAATGTCCATCACGGTGCAATTGCATACGCCAACGATGAAAAGTCCATGCAATTGTCGTTAAAAGTAGCCTTGTCTCCTTCAGTCCCCCCCCCCCCCCCCCCCCTTGCTAGCGTGAAGGACGACGTTCACCCACACCGACAAGTACGCTACACGCTACACTACACACAAACAACAAGAGTGCGAATCGAGCATTCCTCCATAGCCAGCAGCATTACCACCCCACCCTGTCCCCAATCCTCCTCAACCCTTCTCAATCTTCCTCAATCCCTTCGTCTTCTTCGTCTTCCTCGCCCCACCCCCAATCCCGCGCTATTCTTCGTTCTTCGTCCTTCCGCAATATGGACGAGAGATTGATTGTGTGCGATCCACACTCCCTGCCTCCGGACCCCCGCCCCCCAACTTAAAAAAGTTCCTTTTCCTCACAATAGTTTCCTCGCTTTTTACTTTAAAAAGGGGAGTTTCCGCTGCGGGTAGTTGCGTTTCGGGTCCGCTTCGTATCGTATCTGCGGTGTGAACGGGGTCTTGATGTGTATGGTGGCGAACATGGGGAATGGGAATGGGAAGGGGAATGGAATTGGGGTTTAATGAGGTGAAACTGTGAGGATGGTTTTATACGTGGTGGATACATTTGTGGGTGTGTGATATGTTTAACAATATGTGTAGATTAGGTCTGAAGGACTTTGCGTCAATATTTGAATATAGTCTTGCTTTCACTTTTGATTATTGTTTTTTAATACTATAATTCACTTATTGTTTTTTCACTTGTAATTCTACAGACATTTTTTTAAATTATTTTTAATACTTGCGAAAAATGAATAAAAAACTTTCCAGTTGGCAATCAACAGTTCTTAACTAATAAAGTTTCGTTTAGGGTAATTATTTATATGAATAGCTTTTATAATCATCTTTTTTCATAAAGTCAAGTGTTATGTAAAAAAAATAATAAAGTATGTTGAGACTGTTAATTTAATTCAATGAGTTTTTTTAATAATTAATTATTTTTATAATTTTTTACTAATCACATGTAATAAAGTATTGAAATAGTTCAACTAATACTTGATTACATGAATTTAAATTGATTCTTTTACTTCATTAATTATAAGAATAAATAGTCAATACAAGCGCCTGAAATTAACTTTAAAACACAAAAAGTAAACTTAATATGACATGACTTTCATTTGTTGCATAATTATAACTAGATTTTAGTGGCCAATCACAATGAATAACTTCAATACGAACTGAACTGTAGACACTAATGTCTATTAAATCAATTAAAAGAAGAACAACATCAAAATCAGGAAGAAAAAAAAATATATATATATATATATATAAACAAAAAAAACAAAAAAACAATATCATATTCCCCCTCCCCCAGTTGGCTCTAATGCATTGTTTAATTTAAAAAAATGGTTATTTTTAATATTAATAAAAAATAATAAGACCAAGTACATTATCTGAAACACTAATCTAAGTACAAATCTATGGTATATTATTGCTTGAAAATTTGTTAATCATATGTAAATGATAATACTTAAAAGCAATAATATGTGTATTTAGTCTAAATGCAAATCTATACACAAGTATATGCTACTCTTTTATACATAAGTAGAAGACATTACAATTAATATGCAATGATCCAAATTATCATTATATTTTATTACACTCAAATTTGTCAACCATAATTCTAAAGATCAATGCCAATGTAAAGAATGTTCAATTTTTTTTTTTTTTTTTTTTTTTTTTTTTTTTGTAAAACACAGTATTAATGATGTACTTTTGCACTATATTAAAATTTAAATTTTTATGTTAATTATAATATTATAAATCCAAAATAAAGTATTTTTTTTAAAGGTTTTACAATTCAAAGAAATCAACATTCTTGTGAATTAACTGTAAATTTTCATTCTTGCAATATAGTTTTTATAATAAATTCTATTAATAAACATACTAAACATTCTTTACTCTTATAATAATATATATATTTTCTATCTAAGTTAATAACATTAGAGAGCCATGATCTTACAAAATACATGTAAAAAATGGTTGCGAAAAATGTAGTGATTCTGATGGTTTTTATTTAATTTTAAGCCCATAATAATAGAATGAAAATAATAAGAAAATTATAATAATAACCAAATGCTCTCTATATAAAAAACTTAATCTGAAAACTTCAATGATTTTCTAATGAATCTCAAGCTATTGCAAAACCTATCAAATGCATTCATATGGAGTGGATACAGCAAGTGACTAAAATATATTGTATTACACAATATAGCACATAACAACACTCTTTTGTTATACATCCACATCTATTGTACAAAAACATCTCTATACATGGTAACACATCTATTGTGGAAATATAATATGCCATTATTGATGCTCAAATTCTAGAGGGAACAATCTAGTCAGAGCCACTGAAAAAAACTAAAAAATGATACACAATATCACATAAACCAGATTCGGAATGTTGATAACTTTTACTATGGTACATGAAACAAACTACTTCCTTAAGAAACAGTCATGAACAAGCCATGTGAACTAATAACATTTAATAACTCCTTCGGATTTGCACAAGCTCCTTCATGTCTCCATGCACATCAATTACTTTCCCACTCTGTGTATGTCAAGCTGGAATCCCAGCTTTATTTATTTACAAGTCTTGACAAACTACTGCTCTGGAATGCTTTCTCCAAGTCTTGTCTTAGAGAGGGCAAAATAGCCCATCACATTGTGTATCTTCGTGTGCAACTTCGTTTTCAACAAGATGTTGTCCAAGGGGTGGGGGTGCAACATGCAAGTGTTGCAAGAAACTTGACCGAATCAAGTTTAGATGTGGTCGGAGATCGACTTTGCCTCTAGTGCCGAATGGACACAACATTTCGCTTGGAATTTTCCAATATTTCCTTGGACGTCACCTTTGCAGGCAAAGGCGAAGGACAACCACCTGGATTTATGAGACTGAGGACTATCCTAACTACCGTTCTCTGCGCGACTTGGAGAAAACCTGTTGAGAAATTCTGTGTGCATTGCTCTTGCCCTCTTGTCTGGATCAACGTTCTTATCAATCGCCACAGACGAGGCGCAATTCTTATCAACCCGCCAACAGCCATCGTCGAAGTTCAACTGGTAGCTCTTGAGGTCATAGTTCAGCCGTTCGCTGCGGGAGTAGTGCAGCGAGTGTTACGCGCTGTGCGATTGCTCTCTTAAAAACCTGATGAGCTGCTTCCAGCAGTGGGGTTTACAATATTCCTCGCTAACGTCGATCTCCAACATCTTATTCTTCTTCGTTGAATCCACGGCTGGAACTTTGACAGGGTGATTACTCGACCCACGAGGCAAGAACCAACGATAAATCGTTGCTCCCATCGTTTTAGACCTTGGCAGATTGTTCGATCTGGCTTCTGTGCTCACGATGTTGAGTCTGACAAATGGTGCTCGCTTCAGATTCGACCTATCGTCGATACGTCGTGGAACGATTCGATCGTCTTCAGAAGGAGCAACACTCGATGCTGCAGTAGTACCCACCAGTGCTCGGGTGCCCCGCTGCAACCGCTGGATGGCGCTTGAAAATTTTTCTTGCGCTTTGTTGGAAACCTGAACCAAGACGGTGTCCAAGATCCTAGTCTGCGGCTCACCGTCAACATCGCCTGGCCAGACCTCACGCTTAGGCTTGAAGGACGCCATGTCTATCCACAAAATCTCTTCACCAATCTAGTGCAGCCGCTAAAATTTGACAATGCTTTTGTCACAAGAATCCACCATGTGGTCAGAGGAGATACCCCATTCAGGGTGCAATCCAAAGTCATTCTTCCTAAACTAACCGACCCCGAAACTTCTCTTGCAACAACGACAAGAAAATGACCGCACTCGCAACGGCCTCGAAGGCAACAATATAGATACTTCAACGACGCGAGAACAAAAAAGAAAAAAAGAAAAGAAAAAAAGAATCATGATAATACAATTGAAATATTAGAGGAATAAACGCACCTCCAGCGCTTTAAAGAACCAATGCAGCGCTTAAGGAGACATCACATGAAATCGCAATGAAATCTACAATAGATATCAACAGCGCAACTAAGAAAAGCCTGCACAAAAATTGAAAGCCCAAGGCTCTTATCAGCTCCTCGAGAGAGCTTCGTCACAGCATCTGAAAAATGCATGTTATGTGAATAAATTCTCCGTAACAGCGACAGGGTCCAGCTAGAGATTAGGAACCGGAATCAGGAAGTGTCGATCACCCGCAGCTCGGACGCTTGATTGTTGCGATACGGCCACCGAATTGATGACCGGAAAACAATCCCCCCTCCCAAGATCCCACACCGACACGCAAAGCTTGAGAAACTCACTGTCCCTTCTAAGGCCCAGCTTCCGCGGTCTTAGAATGTTCGTGGCTGGTGGCTCTGAGTACACGGTCAGGAGTGTTCCGCAGTCATGGAAGTATCTTCTATTTCCGCAGTGCGACGTCACTCTGCTACCTCTCAGTGACGCAGTGAAGTAAAGTTATCAACAAAGTAAAAGTTTGCTTGAATGAAATGTAAGGAACTGCAAACTTGATATCATACTTTTACTTTCTCTAGTTTGTATAATTTTTAAGAATAAATTATAAGACATATAAATAGATTTGGTAAAACTATTTCTAAATTAGATTAATAGGCAAGCAATGGGCTAGGTTGAACTTTTAGTTTAATAAATTGTATTAAATATAAAAATATCAATATTAGCTAGAAATTAATTGTATGAATAACCTACAATAATTACGAGTTTTATAGGTTGAGTTTAGTTTTTAATTTAGAAAACATGCAACTTCACTTATTAATTAATAAATAACAAAGTACAAAAAATCTAGAGAGATTTGAATCATGACTTGAATACATAAGTTTCATTGTTATAATTCATATTAGCATTGGTCTTACATTAGTAATATTTTCTAAATTTTTAAAAATAAATAGAAATAAACAAAATTATTTGAAAACATATTATATAAATAATATCTTCTTTCAAAGACTTAATTTTTTTTCTTAGATATAGATTAAAAATTTTGACTCCTATAAATATGCCACATAGCTATTTAAAATTATGTCCTATAATTTTATTACTTTTAAGAAGTTGCAATAGAAGCAACCTACTATTTGAGGCTTAAGCCACAAGCCTCTTGATTTTTAAGAAGCTTCTACAAGTTTTGGTAGTTAGTGTGTATATATATATATATATATATATACAAAAAGGAAAAATTAAAGCCATCATCATTTGTATTGATTTCTTTATTGTATTCATGTCTTGGTTCAACATTATTTAGTTTTAAAATATTTTGCAATATACATTCTAGTTCTTATATAGATTTTTTTTTATGTCTTCTTTGTTTATTTTTTTCTTTATAAATATAAAAGTATTTTATATTTTTAAAAATTTATCTAAATTTATATCTTTTATAATTTTATAAGATTAATAATATATTATATTTTTTATTTATAATAATCAATAGATTATTCTATTTTTTTATAGATATTTTAATTCTTTATAAATTTTAAGTTATTTATCTTTAAAATAATGTATATATGTATATATTTATATAATTATATTATTTCCTTTCTTATTAGTTTTTTTCCATAAAAAAAATAGGCTACCTTCATTTGTAAAAAAGTCCTTTTGATATTAATTATTATGTTTTTTTTCTTCTAATTAGAGTTTTTATAATTTTAACTCCAAGTTATCTTAGTTAAAAGAAGAAAAACTTCAAGATTCTACACTAAAAAGAAGTGACACTAGATTTATAACTATTACAAATATGAATTTTTTAATACTCAAAAAACATAAAATATATGTATGAATAATATTAATTATAAACATTATTGTTATACATATAGAAAAAATGAATACTTAAGTTTAATCTAAGTATGAAGAAGTTCTATGATTGTATAAATGACATGAATTACAAACAATTAAAGAGTCAATATACTCTTATGTTACCAAAAAAAATAGATAATTACTCAAAAATGGTATAACATTAAAACTATAAGGCCTATTGTCAATAAAAAGAAGACTAAAAGTTTGTAAAACAAGACTAGAAACAAGTAAGATATAGATAAGAGTGATAATGTCACAGACATACATATTTACCCTGATAATTATCTAAATAATAAGAATAGATAGAAGTAAGTCAAAATAGATAAATATGATAATATCTTGTAGAAAGCTTCCTATAAGCTTTATAGACGCTATTTTGCCTTTATACATGTCTGTAGGTGATTGGTAGGTTGAAAACTTGGCCAATAAGGTAGCCATGTGTCAACATGTTGACCACTTGTAGTATGAGTTGGACATATGGCGCACACCTAAGAAACTTGCCTTGCAAATTAGACATGTGTCTTATAAGTTGGGTGCAAATTAAAGGTCCTATAGCATTTTGTCAAATACTTTATTCTATTTTGTTACTTTTCTTTTGACACTGATTCCATGAGTTTATGTATCTTCTTCCAGTTTATATCTTTTATAGATTGTCAAGAGTGCACATATAATATCAAAGATTTATTTTTTCTTAATTAAGAATACATTACCATATTTTCTTGATAAGACATAAGCGTATTAGAAGTTGTAGATTATCCTCTTTTAAACTGATATTGTTTCTAATTTTTTTTCTTGATTCATGAGTATTTTATTTTGTGAAAATAGACACCTTTCTTTTTATTGTGTTAACATGAGAGAACTTGCTAAAATGAGGACTGCAATAGCTCAAATGCAAGATCAAATGAAAGAGTTAATGCTTACAATGCATCAACTTAGTCTACCACCACAAGGAGCAATAAGTTTATTAGGCAATAAAGATATAGAGATGATTAGAGTTGCTTCAATATCTACACCAAGACATATTATTACTCCTACAACCGAACATCGTTCAAGTTTCTAAGGACCAAAAATTGGATTGCTTGAGAAGTTTGATGGCACAAGATCTAAGTTTCAAGGATTCATCAATCAAGTACAATTAGTGATTGCAGTACAACCTCAAAGTTATCCAACTCAAGGATCATAAGTCAGGTTTATTAAAATACTACTTTCAGATTCTCTTTTATCATGGTTTTCATCATTTTTCAAACAATGTGATCCAATATTGGATAATTTGAAAGCATTCTTAGTAGAATTTTGATCTATATTTGAAAAACATAATACAATCGATGTTGCAACCAAAAAGATTTGTATCTTGTGACAAAGCAATCGATTAGTGATATTATATACTTCACAATTTTGATAATTAGTAATAGATATCAAGTAGGATGATGCAACACTCATCAGCCAATTTCTCTACAAATTACAATATGAAGTAAAGAAATTAATGCTCAATTTATCTGATTCTCAAATATTGAGTCAAGTAATTGACTTTACTATAAAATGTGATAATTATCTTTTTAAATTTTGATCTGAGAATCACATAAAGAAACCTCAATGTTATTACAATTCAACATCGACACCAACGACTTTTTAATCTAAATATTTGGAAGTAGAAGACATACAAATTAATGCAGTACGTTTTAAACCTCTTATTAAATAAGAAAAAAATAGTCGTTGTCAAAAAATACTATGTTTATATTATAAAAAAGCTAAGCTCATTGTTCAATATTGTCCAAAGAAACGAGACAACTACATAATGAAGAGTAATGCTATCAAAGATGAAAAAATGTTGAAAAACAAATTTGTCTAGCTACAATAGGGACCGTACAACTGGAATCTTGTACAATTCTTAATGAAAGTCCTATTCTCTTCTCAAAATCCTCTTCTTGTTTTACAATAGATGTGGGTTTAGGATCTAGTAATCACAAAGCCTCTGCCTTAATTGATTCAAGAACCTCAGCTTATTTTTTAGATGAAGAATTTTTTAAAAGTCATAATATATAGTTAGTACAAAAAACTAAACCCGTACACATAGAAGTCATAAACAATCGTCCATTATCTTTTAGAGATAATACTCATAAAAAACTTCCTATAGATGTAGTAATAAATGATCATAATAGTCGCATAATTTTTAATATAATTAGATCTCCCTCTAATCCAGTTATTTTAGGTTTATCATGGCTAAAAAATTATAATCTTGTGATAGATTGGATTTCTCACAAACTTGACTTTTCTTCAAACACCATTAAGAATTTTTCTAATCCAGTAGAAAGCTATGAGTTTAATATAGCCAAACCTGTACTTGTAGGTACAAAAACTTTTTTGTATGCTACAAAAAAAGGATCGTCTTTTGTTATTTATGTGACACCCATTTTAAATGATAGAAAGATTATAAGTGAAATTCCAAGTCAATATTAAGATTTTAAAGATATTTTTGAAAAGAAGAATGTAGATATTCTCTCGGAGCATCATTCATATGATTGTTCAATCAATCTTAAAGAAAGAACTCATCTACCATTTGGTTCAATCTATTGTTTATCACAAAATGAGTTGGCTCAACTCAAGAAGTACATTGATGAAAACTTGGCCAAAAATTTCATACGCCATTCAAAATCTTCTACAAGAGCTCTTATCTTATTTGTGAAAAAAAAAAGATAGATCATTGCAAATGTGTGTAGATTATCGAGGACTCAATAAGATTACCATCAAGAATAGATATCCTCTGCTTTTGATATCTAGACTTCTTGATAAATTAAATTAAGCTAAGATCTATACAAAAATAGATCTACAAGGAGCATACAATTTGGTTTACATTAAAGAACGAGATGAATGAAAGATTGTATTTCAAATAAGGTATGAACACTTTGAATATAATATCATGTCTTTTGGACTCACAAATATACCAGATGCTTTTCAACATCTTATGAATGATATTTTTTGTGAGTTTTTGGATGATTTTATTGTTTGTTACTTAGACGACATTTTAATCTACTCTAAGAATATAGAAGAATATGAAATTCATGTTTGTCATGTGTTACAAAAACTTAGAGATGTGGGATTGTATGCTAAGATGGAAAAGTGTATATTCCACACTACTCAAGTTGATTTCTTAGGATATATCATTTCAAACAATGGTCTAATGATGGATCCTAAAAAAACTCACACAATTATGGACTAGAAGATTCTAAAAATAATAAGAGATGTACAATACTTTTTGGAATTTACCAATTTCTAACAAATCTTCATCAATAATTTTTTTAAAGTTGTAGCACGACTTATATGCTCAACTTGTAAAAACAAGCTTGAGTAGAGTAAAGAAACAAAAACATCATTTGCAGCTTTGAAAAAAGCTTTTATTTCTATACCGATTCTGCATTGTGTTGACTTCTCTAGAACATTTTTTTTGAAGACAGATACATTTGACTTTGCCTTGAATGTAGTCTTGTCACAAATAGGAGCAAAT